TAATTAAGTTCCCTTAATGTATACATTGGGTCTGTTCTGGCTCTCCTTTCTAATCCATTTGTCTATTCCTGCACTAAACCACATTGTCCTAATTAAAGCCTGTTTGTGTATGTGATATTTGGTAAGTCATGGTCCCTCCACCATAGTAATCTTTGTTCTCTAGGAATGTCTTTTAATTATTCCTGGCTTTAGCTTTTTTCATACAAATTTTAAGAATTGGCTGAATCAGTTTCGGAATGCATTCTTTTGTTTTAGAAGATTTGAAAGTGTATTTTTCCTACCTCTCTCTAGGAACTTCCCTCCCCAGTTCTTCTCATTCCAGTTCAGTGATGCTACCAAAGGCTGCTGTCCTTAAGTGTTCTCCAATAAGTATTTAGGTATTCAAACAGCAAACCACTTGCATTTCTTAATACATATCCTTCTACCAAGAGTACCAGTGGGAGTAGGAAAAATTGACTCTTGCTGGAAATTTTACATCTCCCTTCTGAGAGCTGTGATTTCATGAAGTTGTGAGTGGCTTAGTGGCAATCACATGTTGCAAATTTTGGTTTTCTAATGACAAGAAGGTAATTGATGTTGACTTGTTTTCAGTCTCAGTATCTGCCAGTATCTCTAGCTCTCTAAGGTTTTTAGGACTGGAGTAATAGGGATATATAGATGGGTGTATGGAATTATTGGATATTCCAAGGAGTCTGTGCCAGATGGATACCAATAAGTGGGTCCATTTGGAACTTGTGTTGGGTATGCCTGTCTTTTGTGAGTCTGGAGCTTTCTCCATCAGATCTGGTTAGCTTGGAACAAGGGAATAGCATAGTTAAGGAAAATTTGTGGTTACAGGAACAATACGCCAGATTTTATAATCATTGAGAAATAATGACGTTATAACTGCAAAAGAGTCTTAGAGAACTCCAGACTAGTGCTGCAACGTAGACATTGAATACTTAAGATGAGTCTGTCACACAGCCAGTAAAATGGTGTCTGTTTAAGAATTTGTGGGCCAGGCCGTAGCGCGTGGCTCACGCCTGTAATCCTAGCTCTCGGGAGGCCGAGAGGGCAGATTGCTCGAGGGTCAGGAGTTCAAACAAGCCTGAGCAAGAGCAGACCTGGCTCTACTATAATAAGAAATTAATTGCAACTAAACATATATATAAAAATTAGCCGAGCGCATGGTGGGTGCATCCCTGTAGTCCCAGCTACTGGGAGGCTGGCAGCAGGATTGCACTGAGCCCACGAGTTTGGTTGCTGTGAGCTAGGCTGACGCCATGGCACTCACACTAGGCTGGGCAACAAAGTGAGACTGTCTCAAAAAAAAAAAAAAAATTTGTGGAGACAATGGAATAGTGGTTATGATTTATTTCTTGAATGACGAATTGGGAGGAGCATTGAGAACATTCGTGCTTGAACATAGATGTAGTGTGCTACATGTGCTTACATGCACAGTTTCATTTAATTGGGAAGCACCACTTATCCAGACTTACTCTCTAAACCTGGTGGATGGTGGAAGTGCCCAGAGTTAACTGCAGGAGTAGGCATGCTCAAGAACCGTGTGGGCACTGACTGTGATCACCCTTGTTTTCTTTCTGACCCATCCATGTTGAACATACAGCACAACCTGCTTTTCCCAGTGAAGCTCCCCTACTGAATTGCTCTTTCCATTTACTCTTCTATTGTCTTAAAGATTTGTCATTAATTTCACAAATGTATATTTACTTGTGTTCAGGGCCTTGAGGTTCAAAGATGTTGCCATTTATTCTCTCAAAAGGAGTGGGAATCCTTGTACTGTACTCAGAAGGATTATACCGAGATGTAATGTTGGAAATTACAATAACCTGATCTCACTGGGTAAGTTTGTTTATCTAATCCCCACCCCAAATTCAGAATTAGCCTTCTGGAATTCTTATGTTCTTTATTATGGTTTTTCTTTTTTTTTTTGAGATAGAGTCTTGCTTTTTTGCAAGGCTAGGTGAATGCTGTTGCGTCAGCCTAGCTTACAGCAACCTCAAACTCCTGGGCTCAAGTGATCCTCCTGCCTCAGCCTCCTGAGTAGCTGGGACTACAGGCATGTGCCACCATGCCCGGTTAATTTTTTCTATATATATTAGTTGGCCAATAATTTCTTCTTATTATAGTAGAGACGGGGTCTCGCTCTTGCTCAGGCTGGTTTCGAACTCCTCACCTGGAACAGTCAGCCCTCCTCGACCTTCCAGAGTGCTAGGATTACAGGCGTGAGCCACCACACCTGGCCTATTATGACTTTTTCATAAGTGCTTTTCAAGTACCTGGTTGAGTTAGAGATTCTTGCTCACCAAAGAATTGTTTGTCTTTTGTGAAGTTGGAAATGGGCTGTTCCATTGGACATCTTTATTTTCCTCATTTGTTCTTAATCTACTTGCTCCTCTTTCCTTCCTTCCTTCCTTCCTTCCTTCCTTCCTTCCTTCCTTCCTTCCTTCCTTCCTTCCTTCCTTCCTCTCCCTCCCTCTCCCTCCTCCCTCCTCTTCCTTCCTTCCTTTCTTCCTTCCCTCCTTCCCTTTCTTTCCTTTTTTTTTTTTTTTTTTTTTGAGACAGAGTGTCGCTTTGTTGCCCAGGTTAGAGTTAGTGCAGTGACATCAGCCTAGCTCACAGCAACCTCAAACTCCTGGGCTCAAGCGATCCTTCTGCCTCAGTGTCCCGAGTAGCTGGGACTACAGGCATACGCCATCATGCCCGGCTAATTTTTTCTGTTAATATATATATATATATATTAGTTGGCCAATTAATTTCTTTCTAGTTATAGTGGACACGGGGTCTCACTCTTGGTCAGGCTGGTTTCGAACTCCTGACCTCGAACAATCTGCCCACCTCTGCCTCCTAGAGTGCTACGATTACAGGCGTGAGCCACCGGGCCTGGCCCTCTTTCTTAATCATCAGGGCCAGATTTTAATTTTGACACCTACACCATAACCTTGTTCCTTTTTTTTCTTGAGCAGGACTTTCTGACAGTAAGCCAAGTGTGATCTCCTTATTGGAGCAGGGGAAAGAACCCTGGATGGTTAAGAGGAAGGAGACAAAAGAATGGTGTCCAGGTGAGTGAGAATGAATCATATTGGGGAGGCTATGGTGACTTGTATTAAGTTGCCTAGCTGGCCCATGAGAAGGCAACACTTCTGAGATGTTGGTAGGAAAGCACCCTAATAAGGACTGATAACTGGGTAAGAAAGTTGAGCATGTTTCAGCACAGGGCTCTAAAATTTCACTCCATTTACCACTCTCTGACTACCCTTGTATCATATTTCCATCTCATTTGAGATAGCAAGTGCTTTCCTCCCTCCCTGTGACTTGAACTTGGGGTCCAGTTTTGTCCTAACTTTTTAAAACAGCTCTATTGAGATGTAATTCACATATCGTAAAATTCATCCATTTAAAGTACATACCTCAGTGGTTTTTAGAATATTTATAAAATTGTGCAACCATCACAACAGGCTAATTTTAGAACATTTTCATCACCTCAGAATGAAACCCTATATCCATTAGTAGTCACTCCTCACAACCCAGTCCTAGGCAACCACTAATCTACTTTCTGTCTGTATAAATGTGCCTATTCTGGCATTTTATATTAATGATACCACATATAATATGTAAGTTCTTCCACTTAGCAGAATGTTTTCAGGTTTCATTCATATTGTAAATATCAGTACCTCATTTTTTATATTGGCAAATAGTATTCGTGGTATAAATATACCACATTTTTATTTATCCCTTCATCATTGAAAGGCATATGGGTTGTTTCTACTTTTAGGCTGTTAGGAATAGTGCTGCTATGAACATTTATATACAGGTTCCCTTTTTTTTTTTTTTTTTTTTTTTTTTGAGACAGAGTCTCACTTTGTTGTCCAGGCTAGAGTGAGTGCCGTGGCGTCAGCCTAGCTCACAGCAACCTCAATCTCCTGGGCTTGAGTGATCCTTCTGCCTCAGCCTCCCGAGTAGCTGGGACTACAGGCATGCGCCACCATGCCCGGCTAATTTTTTTTTTTTTATATATATATCAGTTGGCCAATTAATTTCTTTCTATTTATAGTAGAGACGGGGTCTCGCTCTTGCTCAGGCTGGTTTTGAACTCCTGACCTTGAGCAATCCGCCCGCCTCGGCCTCCCAAAGGTTCCCTTTTTTTTCCCTAGTTTGTTGAGTGCTTTTGTTATAAAAGGATTTTAGAGTACTTTTTTCAATAACTTTTTCTCCAACTATTAAGATATCATGTGGTTTTTGTCCTTTGTTGTAATAATTTTGATGTACACAGTGATAAGTTTTTTTTTTTTTTTGAGACAGAGTCTCAGTGTGTTGCCCAGGCTAGAGTGAGTGCCGTGGCATCAGCCTAGCTCACAGCAACCTCAAACTCCTGGGCTCAGGCAATCCTGCTGCCTCAGCCTCCTGAGTAGCTAGGACTACAGGCATGTGCCACTATACCCCGCTAATTTCTTCTATATATATTAGTTGGCCAATTAATTTCTTTCTATTTATAGTAGAGATGGGGTCTCGCTCTTGCTCAGGCTGGCGTCCAACTCCTGACCTCGAGCAATCTGCCCGCCTCGGCTTTGCAGAGTGCTAGGATTACAGGCGTGAGCCACCGTGCCCAGCCTATATAAGTTTTTGAATGTTAAAGTAATCTTTCGTTTCTGGGATAAATTTCACCTGATTGTATTATATAATTCTTTTTCTATGTTGCTGGATTTGGTTCGGTTTTATTTGTTGAGGTTTTTTGCATCTGTATTCATAAGGTATATTGGTCTGTAATTTTCTCGTGATATCTTTGCTTTGTCTGGTTTTGAAGTCAGGGTAAAATTGGCCTCAGAATTAGATGGAAAATGTTTCTTTCTCTTCTGTCTTTTGGAAGTGTTTGTGAAGGATTTGTTTTAAGTTTTCATTAAATGGTAGAATTCAGCAGTGAGGTCATTTGGTCCTGGGCTTTTCTTTGTCGGAAGATTTTTGGCTACGAATTCAGTCTCTTTATTTGTTATTGGTTTATTGAGATGTTATATTTTCTCTTGAGTCGGTTTTGGTAGTTTTGTGTCTTTTTAGGAATTTGCTCATCTTTGTTTAAGTTATCTAACTTGTTGGCATGTAGTATTGTTTATAGTAGCTCCTTATAACCCTTTTTATTTCTGTAAGGTCAGTAATGAATCCACGTTTTTGTTCCTGATTTTAGTATTTTTTTGTTGGTCAATCTGGCTAAAGGTTAGTCAATTATTTTTTATCTTTTTTAAGAACCAGCTTTTGGTCTCATTGATTTGCTTCTGTTGTTTTTCTCTTCCCTATTTTGTTCATCTCTACTGTAATCTTTATTATTTCCCTCTTTCTCAAAGCTTTGAGTTTTGTTCGCTCTTCATTATCTGGTTCCTTAAGCGGTACAGTTAGACTCTTTTTTTTTTTTTTTTGAGACAGAGTCTTGCTTTGTTGCCCAGGATAGAGTGAGTGCTGTGGTATCAGCCTCGCTCACAGCAACCTCAATCTCCTGAACTCAAGTGATCCTACTGCCTCAGCCTCCCAAGTAGGTGGGACTATAGCCATGTGCCACCATGTCCGGCTAATTTTTTGTATATATGTTTTTAGTTGGTCAATTAATTTCTTTCTATTTTTAGTAGAGTTGGGGTCTCGCTCCGGCTGGTTTCGAACTCCTGACCTCAAGCAATCTGCTGGCCTCGGCCTCCCAGAGTGCTGGGATTACAGGCGTGAGCCACCACGCCCGGGCCAGTTAGACTCTTGATTTGAAATGTTTCTCGTTTTGTTTTAAGTCTTTTGTTTTAATCTGAGTAGTTCTATATTTTCCCATAAACTTCTTCTCTCTAAAGTCCTCATTTGGAATGAAATATACTTTTTTTCTTCTAAAATTTTCCCCTGTTGGTCACATTGTTTTTAACAGCATTAGCTCAAAACATTTGAAGGCAATAGCAGTAAAGCTGCTTATCATATCCTTAAAGTAGACTATTTTTATCCTTATTATATACAAAAGAATAGCCATGTTTCCAAATTGTACAACCTAAATATTTTTTATTTACTTCCCAGCTGTTATAATGGGAGTAGGATGGTAAATAAAGAAGAGGTAGGAAAGATTGAAAGTTTTGCCTTACAGCATTTTAAGAAACAGTGGCAAAGGTCTATCCTAATAGTATGGAGGGGTGCTGTTCAGGTGACAAAGTTGCCAAGCACAGAGTTTGCTTTTAACATTCTTTACCCTCCCCCATGGCATTCAGTGACCTCATATTCTCTCTTAATTACAAAGAACAAGAGTCTCTATCTCAAGCTCTTGGGCTATAAAACCTATGCTCAGGTTTGAGATTATAAATTGCCTGTTGGCCACATCTACTCAGCTATGTTTTTTAGTTTGGCCTGCATGATTTGAAGTATTGGTTGCCAACATTTAAAAATCCAGAGATTTCACACAATAATCCAACTTTAGAGTTTCTTCCAGGAGGAAAAAAAGACTATGTCAGAACACTGGGCCCACATTCCTGAGGGCAACAGTCTGCTAGAGCCAAGCAGGTGCTCCCTTTAGTTATGGCATATTGGATTGTGTTGAGGAAGTGACATTGGAACAAGAATACCTGAAGAAAGGGGAGAAGGGCATTATATAAAGATCCAGCAGGGAGGGCGTTTCAAGCTAGATAGAAGAGCAAGTATTGCAAAGGCTCTGAAGAGGAAATGGGTCTGATCAGTTAATTGAGTCAAGAAGCCAGTATATGAGTTAAGATGTAAGTTTATTCACCCAGATTACCAATACCAGAAAATTTCATTTTATTCTCATGCAGCACTTTGTAAGTGTAGGATTCAGTGCTGTGATGGCTCAGCTGCAACCAGCATCAGGCTCTAGACATCTGTGATGACGGATTGTGCAGGAGAGGTCACTAAAATGCCACCTTCCAAATAGTGCAGGGGGAGGGCACTGATTTAGACAGTGAGGCTCACACTTCCAGTTGCCTGAGAGTCATTGAGGGAGAGTAACAAAAGTACCAATGGCTATTCATTCATGAAACATGGTTATTTGAGTATTTACTTTACGAAGGCATCAGTGAAGGGCAAACAGACAATACAAAAGTAAATAACTTAAAGAATAACATAATCTGTTGAGTTTAGAAGTGAAGTACATAAATGTCTGCAATATGGATTGATTGGTGGATAGATATTTGATAAGACAAATAGAGTCAGGTGTTTGTTATAGAACCTGGGTAGTGGGAATATGAAAGTTCTTTTTCTGTATGTTTGAAAATTTTTATAATAATGTTGGGAAAATAGATAAGATGATGTGATGATAGGTGTGCTATGGAAAAATAGGGTAAGTAGAGTGAGTAGGGTCCTATTCTGTAAAGTGTGGTCTTGTAAGTTGGCATTTGAATAAAGGTCTGAATGGAGTAATTAAATGAGCCATATTAATATCTTAGGGAAGATACTTGCAAACAAAGATTCTGAAGGAGGGGTGTGCTTGGCGAGTGTGAAGAACATCCAGTAGTCAGGGAGCTGGAGGAAAGTCAGCTAATGGGAGAAGATAGGAAACAAGGTCAGAAAGACAAGTTTATGGAAGGCCTTTTAGACCAGTTAAGGACTTTGACTTTTACTCTTAATGAGAGGGAGATCCAGTGGAGGATTTTGAACAGAAAAATGACATGCTCTTACTTATTTTGACAAGTACCCGCTGGCTATTGTGTTGGGTATGGAATATTAGGAGTGCAACGGTGGAAAAAGAGAGACCAGTTAGGTTAGTATTGGTGAGAGATGACTTTGGACAAGATGGTGGAAATACAGGTAGAAAGGAGAAGTGAAAATCTGCATAAAGTTTGACAATGGAAATAAGAGGATTTGCTGTTGTAAATGTCTTAGTCCTTTAGATTTTTATTTAGTTAGTTTTGGATGTTTCCTGGACTTTGTAATTTGAATGTTTCCCATCTGATTCTGATTCTCACCAGAGGTGAAAAATCACTGCCTTTTTGCGCTTTCTTTTTCTCTATTCTCATTCCCTCTTCCCTTTTTTTTTTCCCAAATTGCAGTGTAGCGTTAAGAGTTGTTTAATTTGGCTGGGTGCAGTGGCTCACGCCTGTAATTCTAGCACTCTGGGAGGCCAAGGCAGGCCGATTGCTCGAGGTCAGGAGTTCAAAACCAGCCTGAGCAAGAGCGAGACCCCGTCTCTACTATAAATAGAAAGAAATTAATTGGCCAACTAATATATATAGAGAAAAAATTAGCTGGGCATGGTGGCACATGCTTGTAGTCCCAGCTACTTGGGAGGCTGAGGCAGGAGGATTGCTTGAGCCCAGGAGTTTGAGGTTGCTGTGAGCTAGGCTGACGCCATGGCACTCACTCTAGCCTGGACAACAAAGCAAGACTCTGTCTCAATAAAAAAAAAAAAAAAGAGTTGTTTAATTTATTCACAATTTTTAATTTGTCATTTGTGTGTTAGAAACTTTTTTCTCCTGCAATGTTGAAAATGCCTCTTGTGTTCTTTCTTGTTACCTTACAGACCGGGAGTCTGGAAGAGAAACCAAGAATTTATCTCCAAAAGAGGACAGTTATGAAATTAAATCATTGCATCAGGTCAGAAATAACAGAAATAACAGAAAAATCAAATGCCCAGTGGAGAGACAACAAGGGTATCAGAAGGGACATTTTAGACAAGCTGTAATAACCTCTGGAGAAAGGTCCACGTCGATTCAGTGCACAGCCCATAGAGAAGATCAGAGAAATGAAACTGGAAAGAAATCCTGTGACTATAAGAAATGTAAGAACACTTTCAGGTGCCAGTCACATCCTACTCAACGTGAAAAAATTCATAATGAGGAAAAGGATTCTGAGTGTGGAGAATGTGGGAAAATCTTTAATAGTAGATCAGACTTGATTAAGCATCAGAGACGTCATCAAAGCAAAAACTGTAATGAAAATAAGAAATGTGCCTTTATTCGTGACTCTGGAATTACTCAACCTCAGAGCATTGAGGAACCTCATGAGTGTAAGGAATGTGGGAAGGCCTTTCATTCTAGTTCACAACTTAGTCACCATCAAAGGATGCATATAGGTGAGAAACCATATAAATGTAAGGAGTGTGGGAAAGCTTTTCCGTCTACCACACAACTTAATCTACATCTGAGAATTCATAGCGATAAAAAATACTATGAGTGTAAGGAATGTGGGAAGGCCTTTACCCGTCCTTCACACCTTTTTCGACATCAGAGAATCCATACTGGTGAGAAACCCCATAAATGTAAGGAATGTGGGAAAGCTTTTCGTTATGACACACAACTTAGTCTTCATCAGATAATTCATACTGGTGAAAGACGCTATGAATGTAAGGAATGTGGGAAAGTATATAGTTGTGCCTCTCAGTTGAGTCTACATCAAAGAATTCATACTGGTGAGAAACCCCATAAATGTAAGGAATGCGGGAAAACGTTTATCTCAGATTCACATCTTATTCGACATCAGAGTGTTCATACTGGTGAGAAACCCTATAAGTGTAAGGAATGTGGGAAGGCCTTTCCTCGTGGTTCAGAACTGACTCGACATCAGAGAGCTCATGCTGGTGAGAAACCTTATGAATGTAAGGAATGTGGAAAGGCCTTTACTTGTAGCACAGAACTTGTTCGACATCAAAAAGTTCACACTGGTGAGAGACCCCATAAATGTAAGGAATGTGGGAAGGCTTTTATCCGAAGATCAGAACTTACTCATCATGAGAGAAGTCATAGTGGTGAAAAACCCTATGAGTGTAAGGAATGTGGGAAGGCTTTTGGTCGTGGCTCAGAACTTAGTCGACATCAGAAAATTCACACTGGTGAGAAACCCTATAAATGTAAGCAATGTGGTAAGGCCTTTATTCGTGGCTCACACCTTACTCAACATCAAAGAATTCATACAGGACAGAGGAGTGAATAATGAAATGTGGGAAGGCTCAGAATTTTGTTGACATCAGAAAATTCATAGTAGTTTGAAAGAAAACAAACATGATTATAAGGAACATGGAAAGCATTTGAGTGTAACAATTTACTAAATATCAGAATTCACACTATAGATATAAGGCCTGAAAGACCTTTATTTACAGGCCAGAATTGATTTGACATATGTTACTGATGAGAAACCTCATAAATGTTAGGAATTAGGAGGCATTTATTTGTGTTTCTGAATTTATTAGACATAAGTTCAATTGGTGAAAAATTGGAAACTCCATGAATGTAAGAAAAGTGAGAAGGCCTTTTCAGTGGCCAGGTCAACCTTAGGGAATTCATAATGGGGAGAAGCTTAGGAGAGCAGTGAATGTGTTAGATAAATTAACTTTTCAGACCTTTTTCAATATCAGAGTTATTACCCTTAGGGGAAATCAGAGGATTCATAATATTAATGCCATATATATGTGACATCAATTTTCCTTAGCTACCAGTTCATCTGACAAGTGGTACTTGAAGAATCCTATATTACTGTTAAAAGTGCAGCATATTTTTCTGTTCTACTCAAATCTTGTTCAATATTTGCAAGCTGATTCTTATAATTAACCTGAACTGAATCAACATAGGAAAAGATTTAACTAATGTTTAATTGGTTAAATATTCACCCCACCATTATAACTCATTTCTTATAGGGCAAATTACTTAACAATATCTATATTTTCTCATTTATAAATTAGTAATACTTGCATATTGTGAGGGTTAAATACATTTATATTATTTAGAACAGTAGCTAGTATTGAAAGTGTGCAAAGTGAGAGCTGCCTTTATTATTCTTCATTATTTTCATAATTGTACATTATTAAAGGTCATATGAGAAGGCCTTATACGTGCAGTGACTATAGAAACATCTTGTATTATCTCTCTTTTTGTTGTTTTTTGTTTTTTGAATGTTAGGTATAATAATTCCTTCTGGAGAAATTTAAAACTACACAGCTTTCATTCGTAGCTCTTCTTTATCATGGGATTCATAATGTGAAGAAATCCAGTAGAAAAAAGGTGAGTTGCCATGAGGTCAGGAGGGAGATTTAGATTATTAAAACCTTAAAAAACGAGATATGTCATAATATCTGATGTGTGTTATAGAGAGTTAGAAAATAACCCAGCCTTAGCCAAAATCCATTTCTCTACTAGGAAATTTAAAAGCTACCAGTATAAATAATTTTCATATTAAAAAGAAAGTCAAGGCAAATTGCCATTAGGAATGAATGACAAAGACAATACTACATATGTCGATTTGTAGTATGTGAACAAAAGTATACTCTGAGGAAAAACTAAATTTTTTTTTTTTCTGAGACAGTCTGGCTTTGTTGCCTGGGCTAGAGTGCTGTGACCTCAACCTAGCTCACAGCAACCTCAAACTCCTGGGCTCAAGCAATTGTTCTGCCTCAGCTTCCCAAGTAGCTGGGACTATAGGCATGTGCTACCATGCCCAGCTAATTTTTTTATATATATATTTTTAGTTGTCTGGATAGTTTCTTTCTATTTTTAGTAGAGATGGGGTCTTGCTCTTGCTCAGGCTGGTCTTGAACTCCTGACTTTAAGCAATCCTCCCGCCTCAGCCTCCCAGAGTACTAGCATTACAGGCGTTAGCCACCACACCCAGCCAAAAACTAACTTTTAATATGTGTAGAAAACAGGAATGATTAAGGACTGGGATTCACTCTGGATACATAACACCTGGTACATTGCTTATTCCTAGCAGATTCTGAGTAAATATTTGATCAAAGGAATGACAGAGTGAATGAATAAGTATTCAATTCTAGTATGCATAGAAGCTCTAACAAAATGCAAGGCAAAAGCAAAACACAAAACTTTGGAAAACTTTTTGGAATGAAAAAGATTGGACTCTTATAAAGGAAAAATTCAAGCATTGTGAATGAGAAAGCGTATGTAACTATAGAAATGGAGGAGATTTTACAGAAATAATGCCATATTGTATTATCAGATACTTGGTTGCCTGTCCATTAGTGTTAACCATTCTCCCTTTGCCTGCTGCTCACCTAAGTTTATAAAATACTAGGCGCTTGCTCTCCTAGCTTGCTTTTCATCTTATCATATGTATAATAGTCCTGGACACAGAAGATCTGAGCAAAAGTCTGAAAATGGACTTGTTAAATTTTCTATACTAACAAAATAGGAGGAAATGGTCTTCTTAGATACAGGATATATGTCTGTGTGATACGTGGAACTCTGGCCATTTTGCTACCAGAGTGTTAAGAGGCTGAGATTGGCATAGGCAACAGATTGGAATTATCTGTGTCCTTGGCATTTCTGATTTGATGAAACAATTTGGAACTGCCCTTTCTCTGTACTTGTATGAAATAAGGAACTCCAGGGATTTGTTGTAAGTTTATGCTCAATATTTTACAAGATATCTGAGTCTTGAGAAATTATTTTAAAAAAATATTTTCATGGCTAGGCGCGGGTGACTCACACCTATAATCCTAGCACTCTGAGAGGCCAAGGTGGGAGAATTGCTTGAGCCTAGGAGTTTGAGGTTGCCATGAGCTAGGCTGATGCCACAGTACTCTAGCTCAGGCAAAAGAGTGAGACTGTTTCTAAAAAAAAAAAAAATTAGGCCGGGCACGGTGGCTCATGCCTGTAATCCTAGCACTCTGGGAGGCTGAGGTGGACGGATTGTTTGAGCTCAGGAGTTCGAGACCAGCCTGAGCAAGAGGGAGACCCTGTCACTACTAAAAATAGACAGAAATTAATTGGCCAACTAATATATAGAAAAATTAACTGGCATGGTGACGCATACCTGTAATCCCAGTACTCAGGAGGCTTAAGCAGGAGAATCACATGAACCCAGGAGTTTGAGGTGCTGTGAGCTAGGTGACTCCACGGCTCTAGCCAGCAAAAAAGTATAAGACTGTCTCAAAAAAAAAAATTATTAAAAAAAAATATAAATTTTCATATATACATATTCAACTTTAGCAAAATAAAATTTCATGTTTATATTCAGTTTATAGTATATCTGACATTGTAGAAAACATTATTTTCTTAATATTTTCTTATATATAATGAAATATATACGTATATTCAACTTTGATATAGTAAGATGTAGGAACTGTTATATTCAGCATTATCTTACAGTGTATGTTTATTCTTCAGCTTTTTAAAGTATGTCTGACATCCTGTAAAAGTATTATTTTCCTGAATAAAGTAAGAACCAAGAAGAAACTGATAAACAGCGCTATATATCATATAATTTATCTAGTACCAGATTATCTTGTGGATTAAGTTTTCTACCTCTTGAAGATACAAAGAAATCATGGCTATGAATTAGCATTACCCTTTTACCAAATGTGGAAAAAGCATCCAAAATGAAGTCAAGTTCAAATAATCTGTTTTCTTACAGTATATGAGTATTCCATAAAAATAGCAAATCAAATCCAGCAGGCTATTAAAAGAACATGATAGGATATTTATCCAGAATGTTCATCACCTGCCCTGTCCAATTATTAATATGTAATATAGTGTTTACACATCGGGAATTAGACACTAATTATTACCCCTGAAAGTAATAACTGAGAACTAGTACAACATATTATATGCAGCTGCTGTGAAGTCACTGTAGCCTCTACTCGATCATACCTCCTGGTCTGTAGACATTTACAACATTTAAAAAAAATCACCATCCGGTAGGTTCCACTTCTACCTCACACTATATATAAGAAAATAATATATATTCTAATTAAGTGAATGTAAACTGTTTATTATGTGTAAATAAAATCAATCCTAGCTAATATTAGCCCATTGGAGGGCAATTTATAACAAAAATTTAAGCATCAAATTTTTCAAAGGGGAAATAAATACTGTTTTTTGCATTGCTGTACTTCAAAAGTTTGTTCTTAGAATTTAAAGTTTTCTAAGAGGAGATTTGTACCCTTCGGAATGATTAATAAAACAAGGCAAAAATAGATGTCATCATAGTACTGGTTACATTTCTAACCCTTTTGGATTATATAAATTGTTGACATGATTCTCTTTCATTTTCTCCTATGTATCGTATTTCTCTTTTCAAGACTTGAAAGTTCTCTTCCAAATCTATATAACATATTTTTACCAAAAACCAGAAATATTAATACACAGTTATCCCTCAGTATGTGTGTGTGATGTTTCTAAGACCCCTCTGCATATACAAAACCACACATTTCAAGTCCCACAGCCTGGAACCATTATATAATACTGTCTGTTAGACAAGTATCACAAAAGCAAAATCTTTAAATATTATTAATAATTCAGAAGACATAGTTGTTTTCATTAAATCAACATTGTACTGTCCTTTTAAAAAAGATTTAACCGGCCGGGCGCTGTGCTCACGACCTGTATCCTGCTCTTGAGCGGCCGGGGCGGATTGCTCAAGGGTCAGGAGTTACCAGCCGAGAGCGAGACCCTGTCTCTACAATAAATAGAAAGAAATTAATTGGCCAACTATATTATATAAAAAAAAAAATTAGCCGGCATGGTGGCGCATGCCTGTGTCCCAGCTACCCGGGAGGCTGAGGCAGAAGGATCATCGAGCCCAGGAGTTTGAGGTTGCTGTGAGCTAGGCTGACACCACGGCACTCACTCTAGCCGGGCAACAAAGTGAGATCTGTCTCAAAAAAAAAAAAAAAAAAAAGAAAAAAAAAAAGATAACCAGCCAGCGTGGTGGCTCACACCCTGTAACTCCTCACATCTGGGAGGCCCGAGGCGGCCGGATTTCTCGGAGGTCGAGTTGAACGCCGGGGCTGTGGCTCACGCCTGTAATCCTAGCTCGTTGGAGCGGGCGGGCGGATTGCTCAAGGTCAGGAGTTCAAAACGCAGTGCCTGAGCAAGAGCAGACCCGTCTACCTATAAAGAAAGAATTGATTGGCAAGCTGTTATTATAAAAAATTACGGGATGGTGGCACATGCCTGTAGTCCAGTACTCCGGAGGGCTGAGGCCAGAAGGATCACTGGAGCCGCAGGGTTTAGAGGTTGCTGGTGAGCTAGCTGACGCCATGGCACCACTCTAGCCTGGACAAAAAGCGAGACTCTGTTCAAAAAAAAAAAAGAGTATAAAACCAGCCTGACAAGAGCGAGACCCAATCTCTACTATAAATAGAAATAATTAATTGGCCACCTAATACATATAAAAACATTAGCCGGGCATGTGGCACATGCCTGTATCCAGCTACTTGGGAGGCTGAGCAGGAGGATTGCTTGAGCCAAGGAGTTGAGGTTGCTGTGAGCTTAGGCTGACGCCATGCACTCACTCTAGCCTGGGCAACAAAGCGAGACTCTGTCTCAAAAAAAAAAAAAAATTTAGCCAAGTCATGTGAACTAAAAGGCATCTGAGTTAGTTTTTATTTTTCTGATAAAATATTTAAGTTCTTTTTTTCAGCCAATTAGAGATATTTCATATATTTTGGTAGTGAAATTTACATATACATATAGACATACACACAGAAGCAGATCTTATAGCTTTATAAGATTCATTTGCTAGTTTTCAGATAGTTTCTCTCACCCCTGTAGACTATCAAGCCCAATCAAACTAGGGTTGCTAGCTAAGCAACCCTAAATTTAAATGCCCAAAGACATGACTCTTGTGTGAAAATTTACATCCCAAAGGCACAGAACTTCAATCTTAACACCATTATTTACTGAAATAAACAAAAAGGGCATAGCTAAAGGTTCAGTCAAGAACCTCCCATGACTGGGAGGCTGAGGAGGGAGGATTTCTTGAGGCCAGGACACAGTGCTCTATGATTATATCTGTAAATAGTCACTGCACTCCAGCCTGGGCAATGCAGCAAGACCTTGTCTCTAAACAAACAAACAACAAGATTGCCAGGAAAAGTATCTTAAAGGTAAGTTTTTTACGTAACCATAGGTCCTCAAACTTTTTAAACGGGGCCAGTTCACTGTCCCTCAGACCGTTGAAGGGCCGGACTATAGTTTAAAAAAAACTATGAACAAATTCCTATGCACACTGCACATACTTATTTTGAAGTAAAAAGACAAATGGGCAAAAACACCCGCATGTGGCCTGCTAGCTGTAGTTTGAGGACCCAATGCCTTCCCTATAGTAAAAGTTTCTAAGGGTTTAGGTGCAGCAGGGGAGATGCCTTTACAGATGGAAATTTCCTTTATAGATGTAAATTTATCTCACAAAGAGTTTCAAAGAGTTTCTAGCTAAATGCTAGAATGTATTTCCAGAACCAATCTAGTTAAGATAGGTGGTCTTTGCAGCTTGTTCTTTGATTACATTACTGATTTCAGGGTGGGGGTCCTTTAATGAATAGGGCAAAGAAAGCATTTCCTGGCCAGGCATAGTGGCTCATGCTTGTAATCCTAGCACTCTGGGAGTAATTACACAGTTATCCCTCAGTATGTGTGTGTGATGTTTTAAGACCCTCTGCATATACAAACCCACATTTCAAGTCCACAGCCTGGGAACCATTATATAATACTGTCTGTTAGACAAGTATCACAAAAGCAAAATCCTTTAAAATTATTAATAATTCAGAAGACATAGTTGTTTTCATTAAATCAACATTGTACTGTCCTTTTAAAAAAGATTTAACCAGGCCGGGCGCTGTGCATCACAGCCTGTATCCTGCTCTTGGGAGCGCGGGGCGCCGATTGCTCAAGGTCAGGAGTTCAAACCAGCCTGAGCGAGACCCTGTCTCTACTATAAATAGAAAGAAATTAATTGGCCAACTGATATTATATAAAAAAAAAAATTAGCCGGCATGGTGGCGCATGCCTGTAGTCCCAGCTACCCGGGAGGCCTGAGGCAGAAGGATCACTCGAGCCCAGGATTTGAGGTTGCTGTGAGCTAGGCTGACACCACGGCACTCACTCTAGCCCGGGCAACAAAGTGAGATTCTGTCTCAAAAAAAAAAAAAAAAAAAAAAAAAAAAAAGATTTAACCAGCCCAGCGTGGTGGCTACACCCTGTAACTCTACACATCTGGGAGGCCGAGGCGGCCGGATTTCTCGAGGTCGAGTGAAACCAGCGGGCGCTGTGGCTCACCGCCTGTAATCCTAGCTCGTTGGGAGGCGGGCGGGCGGATTGCTCAAGGTCAGGAGTTCACAACCAGTGCCTGAGCAAGAGCAGACCGTCTACTATAAAGAAAGATTGATTGGCAAGCTGATTATATATAAAAAAATTCGGGATGGTGCGCACATGCCTGTAGTCCGCTACTCCGGACGGTGAGGCAGAAGGATCACTGGAGCCGCAGGGTTGAGGTTGCTGGTGAGCTAGCTGACGCCATGGCAACCACTCTAGCCTGGACAAAAAGCGAGACTCTGTTCAAAAAAAAAAAAGAGTATAAACCAGCCTGACAAGAGCGAGACCCAATCTCTACTATAAATAGAAATAATTAATTGGCCACCTAATACATATAAAAACATTAGCCGGGCATGTGGCACATGCCTGTATCCAGCTACTTGGGAGGCTGAGCAGGAGGATTGCTTGAGCCAAGGAGTTGAGGTTGCTGTGTAGCTTAGGCTGACGCCATGCACTCACTCTAGCCTGGGCACAAAGCGAGACTCTGTCTCGTTTGAGCTCAGGAGTTCGAGACCAGCCTGAGCAAGAGGGAGACCCTGTCACTACTAAAAATAGACAGAAATTAATTGGCCAACTAAAAATATATAGAAAAAATTAACTGGGCATGGTGACGCATACCTGTAGTCCCAGCTACTCAGGAGGCTTAAGCAGGAGAATCACATGAACCCAGGAGTTTGAGGTTGCTGTGAGCTAGGCTGACTCCACGGCACTCTAGCCAGGCCAAAAAGAGTATAAGACTGTCTCAAAAAAAAAAAAAAATTAATTAAAAAAATAAAAATAAATAAAAAATATTTTCATATATACATATTCAACTTTAGCAAAATGATAAAATTTTCATGTTTATATTCAGTTTTTATAGTATATCTGACATTGTAGAAAAGCATTATTTTCTTAAATATTTTCTTATATATAATTGAAATATATACGTATATTCAACTTTGATATAGTAAGATGTAGGAACTGTTTATATTCAGCATTATCTTACAGTGTATGTTTATCTTCAGCTTTTTAAAGTATGTCTGACATCCTGTAAAAGTATTATTTTCCTGAATAAAGTAAGAACCAAGAAGAAACTGATAAAACAGCTATATCATATAATTTATCTAGTACCAGATTATCTTGTGGATTAAGTTTTCTACCTCTTGAAGATACAAAGAAATCATGGCTATGAAGTTAGCATTACCCTTTTACCAAATGTGGAAAAAGCATCCAAAATGAAGTCAAGTGTCAAAAATAATCTGTTTTACTTACAGTATATGAGTATTCCCATAAAAATAGCAAATCAAATCCAGCAGGCTATTAAAAGAACATGATAGGATATTTATCCAGAATGTTCATCACCTGCCCTGTCCAATTATTAATATGTAAATATAGTGTTTACACATCGGGAATTAGACACTAAATTATTACCCACTGAAAGTAATAACTGAGAACTAGTACAACATATTATATGCAGCTGCTGTGAAGTCACTGTAGCCTCTACTCGATCATACCTCCTGGTCTGTAGACATTTACAACATTTAAAATAATCACCATCCGGTAGGTTCCACTTCTACCTCACACTATATATAAGAAAATAATATATATTCTAATTAAGTGAAATGTAAACTGTTTATTATGTGGTAAATAAAATCAATCCTAGCTAAATATTAGCCCATTGGAGGGCAATTTATAACAAAAAATTTAAGCATCAAATTTTTCAAAGGGGGAAATAAATACTGTTTTTTGCATTGCTGTACTTCAAAAGTTTGTTCTTGAAAATTTAAAGTATTCTTCTAAGAGGAGAATTTGTACCCTTCGGAATGATTAATAAAACAAGGCAAAAATAGATGTCATCATAGTACTGGTTACAATTTCTAACCCTTTTTGGATTATATAAATTGTTGACATGATTCTCTTTCATTTTCTCCTATGTATACGTATTTCTCTTTTCAAGACTTGAAAGTTCTCTTCCAAATCTATATAACATATTTTTACCAAAAACCAGAAATATTAATACACAGTTATCCCCTCAGTATGTGTGTGTGATTGTTTCTAAGACCCCTCTGCATATACCAAAACCCACACATATTCAAGTCCCACAGCCCTGCAGAACCATTTATATAATACTGTCTGTTAGACAAGTATCACAAAAGCAAAATCCTTTAAATTTATTAATAATTCAGAAGACATAGTTGTTTTCATTAAATCAACATTGTACTAGTCCTTTTAAAAAAGATTTAACCAGGCCGGGCGCTGTGGCTCACGCCTGTAATCCTAGCTCTTGGGAGGCCGAGGCGGGCGGATTGCTCAAGGTCAGGAGTTCAAAACCAGCCTGAGCGAGACCCTGTCTCTACTATAAATAGAAAGAAATTAATTGGCCAACTGATATATATATAAAAAAAAAAAATTAGCCGGGCATGGTGGCGCATGCCTGTAGTCCCAGCTACCCGGGAGGCTGAGGCAGAAGGATCACTCGAGCCCAGGAGTTTGAGGTTGCTGTGAGCTAGGCTGACGCCATGGCACTCACTCTAGCCTGGACAACAAAGCGAGACTCTGTCTCAAAAAAAAAAAGGAGTTAGAAACCAGCCTGAGCAAGAGCGAGACCCCATCTCTACTATAAATAGAAATAAATTAATTGGCCACCTAATACATATAAAACAATTAGCCGGGCATTGTGGCACATGCCTGTAGTCCCAGCTACTTGGGAGGCTGAGGCAGGAGGATTGCTTGAGCCCAGGAGTTTGAGGTTGCTGTAAGCTAGGCTGACGCCAGGGCACTCACTCTAGCCTGGGTGACAAGGCGAGACTGTCTCAAAAAAAAAAAAAAGAAAGAAAGAAAGCATTTCCAGTTTACAGGCCTAATATTTTGATATGTGAAAAGCAAACAAAGATGTAAGGCAGTACATCTACATCTTTAAAAATCAAGGATCCCACTTTTATACTGAATCCTCTCCCAGTCCCAAAGAGGGAAACAGCATAAAGCCAAGCCATCCAATGCTTCCACGGTGTGCTTTGCTGTAAGGCTGGTGTTTGACCATCAATCTGTGATTAGCCCATTCCTCCCCGAGGAATCTTATCTTTTCGTGGAGAGTATACCCAACCATAAGTGTTCAAACGTGTCCGTTTTTTCTACTTACACAAAGAAAAGAAAAAGTAGCCCCCTGTAGTAACAACCATTTACTGAAATTGCTGTCAGCAACTTCCAAACCAGCTTTTACCAGTGACTTTTCAGCCACTGAACACACAAAAGTCAAGTTTGCTCTCCCAGTACAAAGCACTACCTGGTACCTCCAAATCCAAAGATATTAGGCAATGCAATGCAAAAGAGAGCACCTGAGAGGAAACAATTTGGATGCCACGTGAAAACAGAAGACCTCAATGAGAGAGAGGTTAATGTTTTTTTTCCTGTATTCCTCCAGAGGTCTCAGAGACATTAGAAGTCTCCTCTAGATTTCTTCATGTGGTATTGAAAATGGCAAAAGGAAAGAGGGACAGAAGTGGAAGAAAATGTTAGAACAAGTCTTAAAGGATCCAACCTGGAGAGACTTTAAAGTTTTTAAAAGACCAATGAAGTTTTACATTTTTCTCAGCAAAAATCATGAAAACAAGATAGGAAACAAACATAGGGGGTAAAACATTTTAAAATTTCAATTTAGTCAACTGAATAAATTCCCAAAATTACAAAAGAAGAAAAAAACCATAAAGCCCTTTAAAAAAAAAACCAATTACAGTCTAAATATCAGCTTTTAATTTAACTGATATCTGACCATAGTGTTCCTGAAAGCTCAGCACCTGTCCCCAGGGCTGCATCAGGAGAATGAGGAAAGGTGGTTTGAACAAAAAGAAAAAGGAGTTTGTTGATTTGCGAGCAATTGAAGAGGATGAAGACTCCAGTTTAAAATGCTATTGTCCCAATCATAAATAGAAATACAGAGCTTTTAAAGGGAGGGCTTTCAGTCCTAGAATATCGTTCAACTACAGTTGATGATTCTGATTATACTATCTCCATCTAAGAAAATCCCCAACCTCTGCACACTATCTGCAGTTCTGCTGAGCCATCTCCTGAGCACAAAGAACAAAGGACACTACTCTGTCCCCCCACACTGCTGGCCGGAGTTCCAGATGCATGTTTCAAAGAGACAAAAAACATTTTTACCATTTATTTAGGCCATTTCCTCTGTTATATATTCCCCACTGTCAGTTTTACCCATTCATATGTATGAGATGAGGGGCACACAGTCATTAACTTACTTCCATCTGAATTGGGGTGATGTCTTAGAAGGAAGGTTTATACTTATGTATATCATGCAAAGCTTCAGCAGGATGTTTACAACAACAGATTACCAGGCAAAAAAGTCATAAGCAACAACTATAATAGTGAGAATTGAAAGGTTTTAAAATGGGCTGTCGCCTTGTACACAATGTTGGATACAGGGCTGGGTGAAAAAGAAACATGGGATCTCTGAGTGTAGAGCTATTACTTATACCGTGTAGTTGATGCCAGAGACCAGCTTTTGCAAATCAGAAGTAATATATACAAACCTTTGCAACAAACAATTTAGGATGACAAACCCAGCTGCAGGACAGATTAACACAGAGGTGAATGCCTAGGAGACCTCACTAGAAAGTTGTCTCTATCCTATAGATAGAAAAAAACAAAGAAAAGTTAGCAAAAATATCAATATTTTCAATTTTTCCTTTTTCTCAAACAGATACTTTAGATGGCTTAAAGGCCCCTCCAATGTGGTGGTGGAGGTGCTCTATTCTACTTAGCTTTCCTTCTCTAGAGCCCCTTCCTCCCATTCAGCTTGGGCTGTATGGCCTAGGAAATCTCTTCTTGTGGGTTCCTCCCTGGGTTTGTGAAGGCCTGGGTAAGATGGGGGCTGACTGGAACCTGCAGTCATAGGAGAAACCTCCCCACTGGGAGGGGCTGCTTTACCCAACCTAAAGCAACCACATCACCTATGAGGACAGAAATCTCAGAAGGAACCCACTATCGGCATGCAGGACAGGTACAGACAGGTGTCAAGCAAAGTGAAGCTATCTCTACTCCCTCTTTGCCTCTGGCGGGCACATCTACTCTCTTCATGGCCCAAGGATTGACAAGCAGAGAATAAGGTAGGGACAGTATGTATCAATCAAACTGTAGGCTTTGGGACTACCACACAACTTTTGCTGTACTTCCCTCATCAAATTTCATGAGGCAGTGAGGAGTGATTTCTCCTTCATGGGCTCCCACCTCTCCTAGGTTGCCTGTCGTTTGTCCTGAATCTTTTTTATGGGCCTAGAATTTTCTGCTTCTGGATCCATCTTATCAACAAAATACTTGTCCCAATTAATACAGGACAACATTCTTGGGGATCCATTTCTCTACAGTTTTTACTTACAGACTAGGCATGCAGGATTATCAGACAGATCTTCCTTCCCATGCCTTGTGTCCACAGGGGAAGCCTGGGTCACAATGACCTCCCTGCGGATGATTGGCTGCTTCACATGGAATGAGATGTAGCCCAAGATGGCGGGCACTTGCCTTCAAATGAATGTGGTGTTTCCCTTCATCTGCACTTTGTTCTTCCTTGATCCGGACTGGGGAGTATGTGCTTACTTACTGCGATCCTAGGGTCAAGGGTGCGGGACTGGGGTAGCAGCGCAGAACCCTTTGGCTGCTTCTGCTTTCAGGAGGAAGAGGGCACCAGGGATTGGGAGGGTGCAGGTGGGGGAGTCGTAGTGGTCCGAGTTGTTGAAGGTGGGGCTGTTTTCGCTTCTCAGAGAGCTCATTTGCTTTCAGGCACTACTGCCCACTCTTCCCTGGGACTCCAGTGCAAGGCCTGTGTGGTCCCACATATGCTTGGCTTCTCCTTGACTTTGTCAGGGCCTTGAGTGCTCCTTGGGAGCAGAACTGTGGTCATTGTCAATCTGGGAATAGCCGAGAGCTGCTTTTGAAACAGCCGCTTCGCTCCACCTGCCCTTCTGGGATCCCATTTCCCTCAGTGGCCTAGCTGCGGTCACCTTTGCAGTCCCTCGGTTTGCCTAGGCCGGTGTTTCCCCCTTTGCTAAGCAGTGGTGTGGACAAGCAAGAGCCTCTGTCATCTGAGAACAGGGCAATACCTCATAGGCCCAGGTCCCAGAGAGGCAGGCAGTGGACACTAGGATCATACAATTGTCAGCTGACCCCTGCCCTTGGGGACTCTGGTAACCTGAGGTGGCCAACAAGCCCAGCTCCCCTAGCCACATTTCACCCCCACCTCCATGTGAGGCCACACTTGTCCACACCATGCAACCCGAAATCAGATCCAAGGGGGACGGCAAGCCTTCTGCCCTCACGCTGAAGCTTGGCTTCCACTGGGAAGCGACTCAGAACTCGGGTCCACCGGGTCCAGAGCACAGGACGGTTAGGGTCTGGCCCTCGGTCCCCTGCCGCAGCCTTCTTCCTCTTCTGGGACACCCCACCCGCAGCTCAGTCTCACTCCTGGCCCTGCTCTCCAGCCTGCACGAGGCTGCATGGCCGCCAAAGCCTGGCTTCGGGCATTCCCGCTCACCTTGCAACCGCGCATGCGCGTGTCTCAGCTCTGGCGCCTGGCGTCACAGTGACCGCCGCCGTTGCCTAGATGCGTGCTGTGCTCTGGCCTGCCCTATCCAGCGGTTCGAGACCATGGGCCCGGGAGCCCGGGAGCGGCGGAGGGCCGAGCGGGCCCAGGAAACCTCGTCGGGAGCCGCTGGGACTCAGCGCCGATCCGTCGCCGCCTCACGCCTGCCCGGCCGCCGTGCATGTGAGTCTCCCCGACGTTGTGTCCCCGTGCCCTGCGGGGCTGGCCTGCCAGTGTGGCCCTGGGCGGGTCTGCTCCCAGCGGGGCTTCCTCGCAGCGGGCAGAACACCGCAGCCCAGGAGCCACGTGTGTGCGTGTGTGTGTGTGTGTGTGTGTGTGTGTGTGTGTCTGCTGTCTGCGTGCGGTGTGTGGTGGGAGGATTGTGTCTTACGTGCTGCAGAGGGGAGGGGGGCGTCCTTTCCAGTTAGCTGTTAGTTTTCCCACTGGTGAGCCCCTTCTGTTTCCGCGTGGGCTGTGTGGCTTAGGGAAATCTGTGTGGTGTTTTTCTGTGGTTCCTGCCTGGGGTTGTGAAGGCCTGGGTGAGTTGTGGGGCTGATGGGACCCGCAGGTGTAGGAATATCCTCCCCACCAGGAGGGGCCGCTTTTGCCAAGGGAAAAAGACCACGTGACAGTTGAGGACAGAAACCCCTGAGGGGACCCGCTCTCGGTGTGCAGGACAGGAGCAGATGGACGTCCAGGAAGGTGAGGCTGTCTCCATTCCGCTTTTGCTCTGGTGGTCACATCTACTCTCCCTAGAACCCAAGGACTGAGAAGCAGAGCCTAGGGGAGGGACAGTAGGTTTCAGTCAAACGGTGGCCTTCGTGGCTACCTGACCCGTGTTGCTCTCCTTCCCTCGTCCGCGTTCACGTGGCAGTGGGGAGTGATCTCTCCTGCGTGGGCTCCCAGCTCTCCTAGGGCCTCCATCCCTTGTTGTCCTGAATCTTTTTCACAGGCCCAGGCTTCTGTTCCTTGGGGTCCACCTTATCAACAGGATCCTTCTCCCAGTTCACCCAGGACAACATTCTTGGGGACCTCTTTCATGTGAGGGTTCCCTGCCCCACACTTTTTTTCTTACTGATTAGTCTTGCCAGTTTCTGAGGTACATCTGCCTTTCCGTGCCTGTGTCCGCAGGGGAACCCCGGGCCACAATGCTCCCCTTGCTATGGCTGCGTGGTTCTCATTGGGTGAGATGTAGCCCAAGGTGGCGGGCCTTTGCCTTGGAAGAAACGTGGCGTTTCCTTTCATCTCCACCCCGCTCTTCCTTGATGGGGGCTGAGGGTAAGCTCTTCGTTACTGAGGACCTGGGGTCAAGGGTGCAGGGCCCGGGTCGCAGCGCAGAACCCTTTTGCTGCTTCTGCTTTCCCGCGAGACTAGGGACTGGGAGGGTGTAGGTGGGGGAGTGGTAGTGGTGCGAGTTGTTTGAAGGTGGGGCTGTTTTCGCTTCTCCCAGAGCTCCTTTGCGGCCAGGCAAGACTGCCCGCTCCACCGGGAAGCGACCCAGAGCTCGGCTCCAAGGGTCAGAACCCAGGACGGTTAGGGTCTGGCCCTCTGTCCCAGCGGCAGCCTTCTTCCCCCGCTCCCAGACACCCCACCTGCAGCTCAGGTTCCATCCCGACCCCGCGCCCCCGCCCTGGCCTGCAGCGCCTTGGCCGCCACAGCCTGGCTTGGGGATTCCCCGCCCATCTTGCAACCGTGCTTGCGCGTGTCGCGGGTCTGGCACCCGGCGTCACAGTGACCGCCGCGGTTGCCTGGGGACCGTGTCCCTGTGGGGTTGAGGCCCCTGTGGTCATGCCTGGGTGCTGGGCGCTGGCCTGCCCTTCCAGCGATTCGATGCCGTGGCATCCGGAAGCCCAGGAGCGGCGGAGGGCCCAGGAATCCTTTTTGGGAGCAGCCGGGACTCGAGGTGCGTTGCTGCCTCACGCCTGCCTCATCCCTGTGTATGTGAGTCTCCCCCAGTGTTGTGGCCCCTGTGTCCTGCATGCCTGACCTGCCAGTGTCCCCGTGGGCTGGTCTGAGCCCAACGAGGCTCCCTCGCAGGAGGCAGAACAGCACTGGCTCAAGAGCCCCCTGTGTGCTCGTGTGTGTGCCCGCGCGTTGTTTGTGAGCGATTCTGTGGGAGGGATTTGTGTCTGTGCACGCGCGCGTGTGTGTGTTCGTGTGTATTTGTCTGTTTTTTGCCTGTGGTGTGTTGTGCGAATGTGTCTTCTGCGCTGTGGACTGGTAGGGGTGGGCTCCTTTGAAATTAGCTTTCCCACCATTGAGCCCTTCACGTTTCCGCTTGGGCTGTGTGGCCTAGTGAAATCTGTTTTTGTTGTGGTTCCTGCCTAAGTTAGTGAAGGCCTGAGTGAGTTGGGTGACTGACTGGGACCGGCAAGCATAGGGTCACCTCCCCACCCACCAGGAGGGGCCCCTTTTTCAACGTAAGATGACCACTTGACAGTTGAGGACAGTTGAGGAAAGCTCAGAGGGAACAGATAATCTGATTTTAAAAATGGGCAAATGATCTGAATAGACATTTCTCAAAAAAGAAAACAAAAAAAAAAAAACATACAAATGCCTATTCAGATCATTTGCCCATTTTATAATCAGATTATTTGTTTTTTCTTTTGTTTTGGTTTTGTTCAACATCACTATTCATCAGGGAAATGCAAATCAAAACCACAGTGAGATATCATCTCATTCCCAGTTAAAATGGCTATTACCAAAAAGACAAAGGATAACAGATTCTCCTAAGGGTGTAGAGAAAGGAGAATGCTAGTATACTGCCAGTGGGAATGTAAATAGTGTAGCCATTATTGAATATAGTGTAGGGGTTCCTCAAAAAACTGAAACTAGATCTAACATATGATCCAGCAATCCCACTGCTGGTTATATATCCAAAAGAAAGGAAGTCAGTATATTGAAGAAATCTGTCCATCCATGTTTGTTAACAGCACTATTCACAATAGCCAACATATGGAATCAACCTAAGTATTCAATGAATGGATAAAGAAAATGTGGTATATATACACAACAGAATACTGTTAAGCCATAAAAAAGAGTGAAATCCTGTCATTTGCATCAACATGGATGAAACTGGAGGACATTATGTTAAGTGAAATAAGCCAGGCACAGAAAGATAAATATCACAGTTGTCACTCATATATGGTAGCTCAAAAACTTTAGCTCATGGAGGTCAGAGTAGAATGATGGTTACCAGAGGCTGGGAAGTTGGGATGGGGGAGATGAAGAAAAGTTGACTAATGGGTACAAAATTAGTTAAATAGAAGGTGTAAGTTCCAGTGTTTGATAACACAGTAGGGTGACTATAGTTAATTTATTGAATATTTCAAAGAGATAAGAAGATTTGAAATATTCCCAATACAAAGAAATGAAAAATGTTTGATGTGATGGATATCCTACTTACTCTGGTTTGATTATCATAACATTATATGCATGTATCAAAATATACCTCATAAATATGTATATTATGCATCCTTAAAAACAAAAAATCCCCAAAACACTGAGATGAACTCTTTACATCACATGCTATACCATCTAGAATTTTTCCTGATGAGCACTAAAAGGCTTAAAGCATACCCAATGTGAAGCCTCAAAGGACATATTGTGCAAGGATGGAGTACCATCCTCCAGAACTCAGCATACACAATTATCTGGCACTGTGTTACAAATAAGAATACTACTGAGAACCTTTATTTGTGTTATTAAATAGATACAAGTTACTTTTTCCATTCTTTTAATCAAACAATCAAATTTAATTAAAAATGTAACCATTTGGGGGGTCAGGAATTTGGGGAGACCTCAGCTGGGCAGTTCTTGGTTGGGGTCTCTTGTGTGGCTCAAGTTGGATGTCAGCAAGGGCTACAATCATCTGAAGACTTGATGTCCAAGAGGGCTCACTCACATGGCTGGCAGTTGATGCTAGCTGATGTCTGGGAGCTCAGCTGGGGCTGTTGACTAGGGTGCCTACACATGGATTTTCTAGCATTATAGTCTAGGTATGATTGGACTTCTTTCATGGAAGCTAGTGTTCCTGAGTTAAAAGTCCCACACCTCATTTGTTTCATTTTAATTTTCCTTTCTTTAGTGTGAATTATTTGATGTTGTATAAGGAGTGAGCTATGGTTAAAGTCATTTTTACAATTATTTCATTTGAAGAGTTCCCAACCAATATGAATTTTCTGGTGTTGTGTTAAGATTTGAGCTATCCCTATAAGCTTTTCCATATTAATCATTTGCATATGACCAGTAAGATATAGGCCATGGGTAAACGCTATGTTCCCTCCCACCCCACCTTCAATATACACATAGGGCTTTTCTCTAGTTAGAATTCTCTGGTGTTGAGCAAGGGAAATCCTGGATGCCTTCTTTTCTTTAGTATGACTTTTTTATTTCAAATAAGACATTAACTGTGGCTAAAGGCAATCTCACATTTATTACATATGTCTTGTATTAAGATTTGAGCTGTGGCTAAAAGCCTTTCTGCATGCATTCCATCCACATTCCCAATTTTTATAATAACACTGATAATTTCCCTCTAGCATGAATTCTCTGGTTTGAACTACCAACATATTGATAAAATTCATAGTTGTTTCCCTTGAGAGTGAATTATCTCATGCTGTGTGAAAGTTCTGAGTGGTTTGGCAGTATCTACCAAAGCTGACTGAACATACACAGTAATTCCATTCATAAGTATATACACAAGAGAAATGCATATATATATAGCAAAAGACAAATAGGTTTTCAGAAGCATTATTTATTATGACCCTAAGATGTAAACAATGTAAAAGTCCATCAACAGAATGGATAAATTGTGATATAATCATATAATGGAATTCTATATAGAATAAAAATAAACTTCTGCCACATGCACTACTAGTGATTAGAGACATACTGATGAATGAAATAATCCATATATAAAAGAATAAACAATATATAATTCAATTTATATAAAGGTTTATAGTACATTAAAACTAATTTATAATGTTAGAAGTCAGAACTGTGGTTAACTTTGAAGAGGTAACAACTAATTTTTATTTCATATTTCCAGTGAGAAATACAGTTCACATCTCATTTGTCTGCTTTGTCCGTGTTGAGAACATACCTCCTTTCTTTTATAGAACTTCTACTCACAGTGCAGTCCATGGGCCACTGCCAGTTGGCCAACTGCTTATTACCGGTTCACAAAAAGATATATTTAAATTGAAAATAAACAGTTTCAAATGTTTATGACAATTTGACAGAAATTTTCATCTGCTGAATCTAATAAAAAATTTGGGCTTTTATTTCAATTCTTTTTTTTGTCAATTTGTCTAGTCATATTTGGTGTGTGTGTACCTTATAGGCTAACTGCTAGTCTAGCCAATAGTAGATTAATATGTGGTACAGTACCTTAAACTGTTGGATATTATTACACTTGCAAGCAACATATCATGTATAGGATTTACTATGACCTAAAAGTTTTTTACAAAAAAGTCTCATTACTTACTGCATTCCCATGGTTTGTACCTTGTGAGTTTTCTGATGGACAACGAGGTTTGACTTACAACTGAAGAACTTCCCACATTCTTTACATTCATATGGTTTCTCTCCTGTGTGAGTTTTCTGATGGCGAATAAGGTTTGATTTCCGACTAAAGGCCTTTCCACACTGAGGACATCCATTGGATTTCTCTCCTGTATGTATTCTGTGATGAACAGTGAGGATTGCCTTCTGGCGGAAGGACTTCCCACATTCATTACAAATATAGGGTTTTTCCCCTGTATGAATTCTCTGATGAAGAGTGAGGGTTGTCTTTTGGCAGAAGGACTTACCACATTCATTACAAATATAGGGTTTCTCTCCTGTGTGAGTTCTCTGATGGACAGTGAGGGTTGTCTTCTGGATAAATGCCTTTCCACACTCATTACACTGATATGGTTTCTCTCCCGTGTGAGTTCTCTGGTGATCAATGAGGTATGACTTCTTTCTAAAGGCACTTCCACATTGAGTACATTCATAGGCTTTCTCCCCTGTATGTGTTTTGTGATGTCTAGTGAGGGTCGCCTTCTGGCGGAAGGACTTCCCACAATCAATACAAATATAGGGTTTCCCCTCTATATGTGTTTTTTCATGAAGAGTGAGGGCTGTCTTCTGACGGAAGGCCTTTCCACATTGATTGCAAACATATGGTTTCTCACCTGTGTGAATTCGCTGATGTTCAATAAGGTATGACTTCCTTCTAAAGCAATTCCCACAGTAAGGACATTGAAAGGGTCTCTCTTCTGTTTGAGATCTTTGATGCATAATACAAACAGACTTCCTACAGAGGAATTTCCCATATTTGTTGTAGGCAGAGGGCTTCTTTTCCATAAGACTGTGTGGATGGATGTTGAGATTTGACTTTTCTATGAAGGCAATTCCATCTTTATTGTATTCAAAAGTTCTTTCTCCTCTATGAGATCTAGTTTGTGCAAATAACATTCCTTTCATAACGAAGGATTTTTCACATTCATTATGCTCAAATGGTTGTTCTGGAGTTTGAACCTTCTGATGTTGAATAAGTTCCTGTTTACCACTGAGATCTTTTTCTGTTTGTTTATGGAGATTCACTATAGGATAAATTTTCTCGTGCTTAGGATTGAGGAGTGATTTCTCCCATCCATTACTCTCTCCAAACTTCTCTTTTAAGGGGCTTACATTTCTTATGACTAATTCTGAAATATTTTTCAAAACCTTTCCATCAGGTTTATATTCACATAATGTTGTTTTTGAAATAATATGGTTCTTGCCTAGAGTAAGTCTTTTACCATAAGTATTACTTTTCTCCTTAATTAGTTTTCTGTGGTTGATTAATACAACTGATCTAGAATGTCCATCTTGGTATTCTTTGAACTTCACTAAAACATCTTCAGCTTTTCCATCTTCTAGAAAAGAACATGATTGACACTATAAGTCTTCACATAAATACTATATATTAGATGTACATACAAACAACCTATGTACAACCTACCTATAGAATATCTTGCTATTGTGGTCTACAAAAAAGGCCAGAATAAATTACCTCTAGGTAGGGAAAATGTACAAACATAAACATAAATTGTGCTATACTGTTAAAATGAAGAAAAATCATCATAAGCAAAGAATACTCATATCTTTGACATGTTGTAAATATAAGCTGTAAAAGTGAGTTGTAAAGAAAGTATAAGTGAGTTGAAGACAAAGAATGATGAAAGAGGGATTGTTCTTGGAATGGGAAGATTCAGAGATAATGAAGTGAGCTTACTAAAGATACTAAACAGTAAGCAATGTTCAAGGAAAATTACTTAGGAAGAGATGAAAAACTGTACATTTATCCCCTCCTAAGTAAGTGTTGTAAAATGCTTACATTGCTTTCTTCCTCACTTCCTTTTAGGCAATCCATCACAAAACAACTTTTTAAAGCTCATTTCCTGGTGTTTACAGAAACACTAATCTATAGTGTAGGCCCTAACTGTCTATATAACTGTGATATATTTTCTGTTGAAAGCAGAGAATCAGGAAAACATATTCTCAATAGAAATTATAAAATAAACCAGAAGACAAAGAATATCTGCAACATGAATATAATTAAGGTTGTATTCTGGTTGCTGCTATCATCAATTTATTCTTCCAGAGATGGTCAATAACGAAATGCTCCTGTATGACTATCAATTCTAACTTTTCCTTCTTTCAATTTGCTGAAATTACTTTTTTCAGTTACAGAAAGATGGGTTCCAGTTTTCCTCCCAATGCAGAGACATACCATAACTCTGTTCCCTATTGGGGATGTGAAGGACTGGATTCTTCAATGTATGTGTAGGGTACTGATTAACCTTAACTATTATTTTTCTATAAACTCTTGACTATATTCTTATTACCACTCCTATTTGAGGGGATGAGGCAACTATAAAGATGGATTAATCTTACCTACAATTTGCAATTTTATTTACAATAGCTTCATATTAGAAATAGCCCACATATCCATCAAAAGATAAACAGGTAACACTGCATCATATATTTATACTATGGAATACTACCTCAGCAATAAAAAGGGAAAAAAAAAACCTACCGATAAACATTGACAACAGAGATGAATCCCAAACATTTGGCAGAGAGTAAGCTTTATGCCAAGGAGTACATACTGTACAATTCCATTCATGTGCAATTTCAGAATAGTAAAACTAATCTGTAGTGATACCTGAAGTTACGTTGTTTTCCTAATAACCTCAAATATCTCCAAGTAAATGCTACTGTTCAATTTTTCTTAAAGCCTTCACATAGTATTTCTACCCTTCAGTGTCTAATTTGTCTGAAATTGCAGTTTAATTATGCTCTGGCACATCCATTTGAAGAAATATTCCAACAAACTAGTATTTTAACATAACTATTCTATGTAAAATGCTCAATTTGATAATATTTCTTTCTCAATAAAACTTCTGTTCTTGGAGGTCAATATTTTATTGACTATCTTTGAAACCTTCTGTGTATACATTAACATACTGTTATTCTGAAGTGAGGGGATGTGATCTTGGCAGGTCTGGCAAAAAAAGAACTTACCAATAAATGATTTCTGAAATGGATAAAAAAGATGTTTTCCTTGCATGGTACCACAATCAATTAGGTAACTACTGAATACCTAGCCTCTGTTACAAGCTACAGTAAGGAAAGGTAAAAGAAAGGACCTTATTTTGGGTGAATTATTAACCAAATTGAGAAAGAAGCCTCAGATAAACTAGTGTTGAACTAGGTACCAAATTATTAGTACATATCAGAGGATGTGTCTGTTCACATGTTACAGACATTAAGTAAAATAGGAATGAAGAAAAAAGAAATAGACCTTGTCTATAGTAGTCAAGGAATATTTTGTGGAGGAAGTGAAACTTGGAGGATATATATTTTGGGGTGGTAAATAATTTAACCTTGCAGAAAGAGAGGTCTGACCTTTGACTCTGGCTTCAGGGAGGTAATCTTTAAGCCCTTGGAACATCATGGCTAACAAAAGCTTATTTGTTTGCCTGGGAGACTTTAGACAGATAGTAACAATGTGATTTAGGGTAGGGGCTTTGGGTTATGAAGTATCAGGTTGACCTCCTAAGGGTGTGGAGACTGAGATTAGCCACATGGGCAGTCCAGCATGCCTATCTGATGGAGCGCCAATAAAAACACTGGATACAGAAGCTTGGTTGAACATTCCTGCTTGGCAACACATTGTATGTATCATCACATATTGTTGCTGGGAATGCTGTTTAAGACTCCATAAAAGAAGGACAACTAGAAGCTACATGTTTGGTACTTTCTTGGACTCTGCCCTGTGTCCTTCTTCCCTTGGCCAATTTAAATCTTTCCCTGTAACAAACTGTAACTGAATATAACAGCTTTCAGTGAATTCTGTGAGTCCTTTCAGCAAATTATTGAACCTAAGGGTTATCTTGGGGACCCCTGAACTTACAGTTGGTGTCAGAAGTCTTGTGTAGACTACGGGATCCTCAAGCTTCATAAGTTGACTAACTTTGCAAGTATTAATAGCAAACATATGGTATGTCCTATAATGAAAGGTCCAGCTGTAAGGAATAAAACCAATTATAGTTGTCCCTCATTATCTGACCCCCCAAGGATACCAAAATCTGAAGATGCTCAAGTCCCTCACATAAAAATATAGCATAGTATTTGCAGTAATCTATACACATCCTCTCATATACATTAAGTCATCTCTAGATTACTTATAATACCTAATATAAATGCCATGTAAATAGTTGTTATACTGTATTATTTGTATTAATATTATTTATATATTAATATATATGTGCTTGTGTGTGTGTGTTTTTGTTTTTTTTTAAATATTTTCAAGCTGCAGTTGGTTCAATCTGTAGATGTGGAATCTGTGGATATCGAGGGCTGATTGTATATGGAGTATATTTAGGAGACTTGAACAAATAGAGATGATCAAAAGTTCTTAGTCAAAGAGAGAAATAGATTTAGAATGACCAAGTGTGGTACTATTCTCTCAGCCCATGAAGAAGGAGGGATATAATAAGTCATATATTTTTAGCATATTGACAGAATAAATTTAAAAAACTGGGGAAAAATCATGGCAAATCTAGAGAGTCATTACAGCAGTCCACACCTGAAATGACAAGGCTCTCACTTTGGATGGTATCAATGGCAAATGAGAATATAAGAGGATGGAAAGATATTTCACAGGCTGAGATAACGTAATACAAATTGTGGAGAGACTATCAAGAAAGTATAATAGGGATGATAGAATCAATCTGATACTACCGGGCTGATTATATAAACAAGAGAATAAACAAATAAAAGAGTCCAGGCGCGGTGGCTCACCCTTGTAATCCTAGCCCTCTGGGAGGCTGAAGTGGGCGGATTGCTCGAGGTCAGGAGTTCGAAACCAGCCTGAGCAAGAGTGAGACCCCATCTCTACTATAAATAGAAAGAAATTAATTGGCCAACTAATATATATAGAAAAAAATTAGCCGGGCATGGTGGCACATGCCTGTAGTCCCAGCTATTCGGGAGGCTGAGGCAGTAGGATTGTTTGAGCCCAGGAGTTTGAGGTTGCTTTGAGCTAGGCTGATGCCACGGCACTCACTCTAGCCTGTGCAACAAAGTGAGACTCTGTCTCAAAAAAAAAAAAAAAGAAAACACAACAAATAAAAGATAATTGTTATTCTGATATACTGATAACCAAAAGGATAAGACAACTGATATACTCCCATATGAAGTTATACTCCCATATGAAGATAAACATATACACTAGAGTTCAAGTGTGAGAAATGGGCTGATATGTCTATCTGAAAGCCAGTCATGTAAAACAATGATATCACAACTTTAGAATGGACCAGATTATTATAGTTTGCAGGACTTGTATGAAGATAAGAAATGATGGAGAGCCGGCCGGGTGCAGTGGCTCATGGCTGTAATCCTAGCACACTGGGAGGCCAAGGCGGGCAGATTGCTTGAGGTCAGGAGTTCAAAACCAGCCTGAGCAAGAGCAAGACCCAGTCCCTACCAAAAATAGAAAGAAATTAATTGGCCAACTAATATATATAGAAAAAATTAGCCGGGCATTGTAGGGCATGCCTGTAGTCCCAGCTACTCGGGAGGCTGAGGCAGAAGGATCACCTGAGCCCAGGAGTTTGAGGTTGCTGTGAGCCAGGCTGATGCCACGGCACTCACTCTACCCTGGGCAAGAAAGTGAGACTCTATCTCAGAAAAAAAAAAAAAAAAAAGAAATAGAAATAAGGGGGAAGAAAGAGCCTTTAAGGACACATCAGAAAGACCCCAATGAGAGGCCTAATGAAACAAGATTCATTTGCTCAACAAATATTTATTGTCCCAGGCAATGTAGATAAAGGAAAGAAAAGCAAGCAAGATGTGAAAAGGTACTCAGGGAAATAGGATGAGAATGAGTTAGTATTTTTCACCCAAATCAAGGTGGGTAGATATCAGGAATGATGCTCAGCACTATGATATGAAGCACATACTGGAAAGAAAAGGTGATCCTGAAATTATCACTGGCAGATGGATTTTGAAATCTGATCGTAAGTCTCATGGCGAGAATGGGACATGAGACTGAGTATAGGAAACAAGTATAAGGCATTGCACAGGAAAAGAAAAGAAAAGAAAAACCAAGAGGAAGACAAATATTAAACAATGATTTCCTTTTTATTTTTTGGATAGATGTAAGAATTCTTACAAATAGGAGATTATAACAAAAGAAGGAATATAGAGGATTGAAATGCTAAAGAAAGAGGAAAAACAAGAAGAAGCAACTAAATCACTGGTTCCCAAAGTGTGATGCATGAACTTCTGGTGTTTGAGACCCTTATGTTGGGGGTGATGGGGAATATCTGCAAGGTAAAAACTATTTTCATTAATAATAACACTTCATTTGTCTTTTTTACTGTATTTATGTTTGTACTAATGGGGCAAAAGCAATGGTGGGTGTCTCATTTGTACCCATGGATTTTAGTTTATGGAGTAACTGAATGACAACATGTAGCAGCTAGTGCTGTTGAAAGAAGATTATTATTATTTACATTTCCTGAAAGGAGGGGGGCGTGCCACACTACAAATGGCCACATGAGGAAGCACCAAGTTTGGTCAGAAGGCAGAAAGGAGCAAGGGGGAAGAGCCTAGGTTACAACTTTCATTGGCATTTCTAGGGAAAGGCAAGGCAGGGCAGAGAAAAACAGCTTAGGACTGGCTACTTTGAATAGTGTTGGCAGGCTATGGGTTATAGGGGTGGTCTTTAGATGTCTGGTACCTGGACTTTGGTGATTTAGGGCAGGGAATATATTGGCTTAGTTTGTGAGAGCTGAAAAAAGGAAGTGTTTGGGAGTATGAGCTCAGGTTTGGTTGGTTTGTTATGAAAGGTGAGTTCACAGACAAGTTGTTTGCTGTCTCTAGGAATTAGCTAACTCTGGGAGGGGGAGTCTTTCTCCCCAGGTAGCAAGGTCTTCCCCTCAAAGATGTCAAAACATATAGAAAATTAAAAATTTGATTAATGCAGTGGGTACAATGCTGGCACATGAGCATAAATCATTAATTATATTAGATTTCCATCCTTGAGTACGTATCTTTTTAATATTCTATGTGATGATTAAAGAAGCATGCATAAAGCACTTCTACTGTATACCAGAGTATGATATATTTTGTAAGGAAAAGTTACAAACATTATTTGACTTGAAAACTGAATATTCGTAGTTTTGGGGGAAGATCATTTTTACTTGATAGTGGAACTATTATTCAGATATGGATATCTGGCAGCCTTTTTTTTTGAAAATGAACAAAGTGAACCTTTTACTCCAAGGAAAATATCTGCCAATATTTGTTGCCAATGATAAAATTTAATCTTTCAAGTACAGATTATTATGTTGGAAAGCTTGGATTTTCTACTGTGAATCTGTCAGTTTCCCAATACCTAAAAGAGTTTTCTGATGAGATTGCTGATGTTATTAACAAAAGTGGGCTTTGGCTTTTTTATATTGTATATGGAAATGTGTCAACATTTGGAAGATCTATATTAGTCAGTGAACAGATTCAACTTTATTCATAATGGTCCTAACTTGTAAACATCCCACATGTCTTTCAAGTGGAGATGCATAAACAAACTGGCATATTCATATAATTGAATACTATTTCACAATTAAAATAACAAACTATTTATATGTGCAAAAACATGTATAAATCTCTCAGAGCTTAAGTTGAGTGAAAGAAAGCACACACGAAAAAGGTCTAGAATAAACAAAACTAATCTATGCTGGTAGACATCACAATTGTGCCTGTCCTAATAGGAGGCACTGACTTGGAAGAGACCTGAAGGAACTTAATGGGTTAATGGAAGTGTCTTTTATCTTGACTAGGGTGTGGGATACATGGGCTTATACTTCTGTCAAAACTCAAAGAACTTCACACTTAAGATCTCTATGTACCTTATACCTGGAAAATATGCAATAGATTCTTGGTAAAGTAATAGCAGCCAATATTTCTATAAACACAGGCAAACAGGGAAACAATTTATATGGGGAGTGATGTTCAAACCTAAAATTTAGATTTTAGAGGTATTAGCCTCTGAAAGTCAGCCATGTGTAGATACTTAACAGATCTAAAACCTTTAGAAACATATCCCTAATAAGATGGCTACTCTCAAGAAAAGAAAATAATAAGCATTGGTGAAGATGTATAGAAACTGGAACCCTTGTGCGCTGATGGTGGGAATGTAAAAAGGTATGGCTGCTATGGAAAACAGCATGGTGATTGCTCAAAAATTAAACCTAAAATTACCATATGATCCAGCAATTCTTCTTCTGGGTATATGCCCAACAGAACTGAAACTGATATTTGTACACCCATGTTCATAGCAGTATTATTCACAATAGCCAAAAGGTGGAAGCAACCCAAGTGTCCATCAATGAATGAATGGATAAACAAAACATGGTGTATACACACACAGAGGAATATTAATCAGCATTAAAAAGAAAGGAAATTCTAATATAAGCTACAACATGGATGAACCTTGAGGACATTATATTAAGTGAAATAAGGCAGACAAAAAGAAAAAATACTATATTATCCCACTTACAAGAGGTGCCTGGACTAGTCAAATTCACAGAGACAAAAAGTAGAATAATGACTGTAGGGGTTTAGGGAGTGGGGGTAAAAGGAAATTATTATTAATGGGTACAGAGTTTCAGTTTTATAAGATAAGAGTTCTGGAGATGGATGATGGTGAACTATAATGCTGCTGAACTATATGCTAAAAAATGCTTAAGATGGAAAGTTTAATATTGTGTGTATTTTATCACAATTAAAAAATCCCTAAAAACATTCAAAGGCATCAACTACCTGAGATTTAATATCCACTGGATTTTATTTGTACAGACTCACCTAGGTAGCTCTGACTTGGAAAAATTCCCTGTGTCCATAGCTCTTCTCCTTGTTCCAACTTGCGGATCATATCAGGCTTAGTCATGTGAAACCCTGAGAATGAAAAAATGAGACTTGGTCTAAACTGGTTGGGGTTTAAAACTATTGAAGTAAGATAAAGATACAGCTTCAAGGTAGCAGATGAGCACTACCTTGCATTATGCAAGTGAGGACATAATCATATTTTTTGCTAACATTTTTGGATCAGAGGATTCATCACCTGTGATCCCTGAAATTCAAAGTCGTAAGACTCAGGAATGCCTGGAAAGAGATACATGACACTGAAAGACTCAAGGAGTGTTCCTTACCCACAGAGATGAAGTGGCAATAGTTTTCCAACATCACATCCCTATACAGGGCCTTCTGAGCAGGGTCCAGATGCTGCCACTCCTCCTGGGTGAAGTCCACAGTCACATCCTTGAATGACACTGATCCCTGTAAGGGCATACTCTAGTTCATCCTGAAGTGATCGGAAATGGGTAAGAACTACATATTGGAGACCTAGTTCTGACAGTGTTTGATGGTCAAACTAGTTTTCTTATTCGTGTTTTATATTGTACAAAAGGCTCTCTGAAAATACATTCATCTTTTTTTTTTTTTTTTTTTTTGAGACAAAGTCTCACTTTCTTGCCCAGGCTAGAGTGAGTGCCGTGGCATCAGCCTAACTCACGGCAACCTCAATCTCCTGGGCTCAAGCAATCCTCCTCCCTCAGCCTCCCGAGTAGCTGGGACTATAGGCATGCCCCACCATGCCCGGCTAATTTTTTCTATTTATATCAGTTGGTCAACTAATTTCTTTCTATTTTTGGTAGAGACGGGGTCTTCCTCTTGCTCAGGCTGGTTTCAAACTCCTGACCTTGAGTGATCCGCCTGCCTCAGCCTCCCAGAGTGCTAGGATTACAGGTGTGAGCCACCACGCCCAGCCTGCATTCATCTTTATTTACTTATTATCTCATGCTAAATATACTGAGATCACACTATTTTTCCTGTATGTAAATGGTTGCCTAGTAGACTAAAATGAATAAGACCGTGACCCTGCTTATGAGAAGTTATAGGCTAAGGAAGAGGCACACATGTAAATACATGCACTCAATAGATATTATAGATGCAATGACAGAAATACGTACAAGGGAAAGTATCACAAAGCAAAGAAAAATTTCATTTTGTACTCCGAGGCTTCATTGAGGACATAAAAGTTTTGTACTCACAATGTATTTGTTTTGTAGGAATACAGGGCATCAGCTTTTAAAAATTCATGGGGAGAAAAAACCAGTTAGTACCTTCAGGAAATAGCAAAAGGCATAGTATGTTAGTAAACAGTCTCTGAGTTCTAAGAAGGAAAAATGCACATGGAGGTAGGCAGTGGGCATATTATGGATAATATGCTTTTTCCCTTACATAGCAGTGGTCTTAAAAATGTACTGAGCACATTCCCAACATTGTAGTTATTTATAAATCATCAGTAGGCATTAGTGGCAACCCACAATGTTAATGATTAGTGCTCTTGAATGTAAACTGTTGGTATTTTCTTTCCTTCCAATATACTGTCTTATACATTCCACTGTGAGGCATGCCCCACTTTGGGTCTTTAAGAAATATAAAGAACATAAAGAAACTAAGTCAATGCACATATGATAAAATTTGTACTTCACAGGCAGTATTCTTGAATACTGCAAAAGGCTTAAGGTGTGTTAGGTGGGAATGACAAGTAACCATAGTTAGAGATGCCTCCTATATATTAAGGTAGTGTTAGCAGGCTGACAATGGCCAACTAGTTCCTACATGACACATTGCAAAAGAATTTGTCATAAATTGGTTGTAGAGTGGAAAAAAGAGAGGCAAAGCTCTTGGGTTATCTGCATAGGCAAGTGTGTGGCTGCTGGGACTAGAAAATGAAAATGGGAAACAGAAGAAAGAATAGGCTGTACCACAAGAGGTAATGAGGTAAACCTTGGAAATGTACTTAAGTGTCTGTGGAACATACAGGTGGTGATAGCTATTGGAAGTTGAATACATGATTCTGACACTCTGGACAGAAGTCTAGAATGGAGACAGGTATCAGAGAGTCAGATAAGTGTAGCATTGAGAGTGAATCTGTGCATAGAGAAAAAGAGACTGTGAAGAGAAGAGAACCAGTTTAGCATCTGGAGAAAAATCAATATTTTGAAGGTTGGTAGATGAAGACGAATTTTCTGAAATAAAGATATGAAGACAGGACAAAGTACCATTTGACTCAAAAGTAGAATATTTCAAGAGTGGACTAGCATATGCATTTCCTTCTCCTGTACTCACATATAAAAAAATTAGAAGAAACTAAAAAGATAAGAATAAATCTATAACAACATTGGGATACTGGAAAGGTGGTTTTCATTTCATTTGCAGGCTACAATTTGTAGGAACTGCTAGCAGACATGGATAAAATAGAGAGATCAGAGAGGAGGAACAAAAACCTCAATTTTCTGTATGAGCTTACAATCGATTATCTGTTCTAAAAACCTCACAAAGCAGGACATCTTTCCACAAACTAATAATGTGATCTACCAATTCTACCTCTCATTGTATCATTGCGAAACCTAGGTTAGTGGAGATGATCAAGGTTTTTCCATGTCTGCTCCTTGCCTACTCAACAACTTAGATCTCAAATCAGTGTCAAGATAAGGTAGATTATAATGTAAAATAATATATTACTTTACACTTAAATCAAGATATCTTACTGTTCCCACAGGACTTTTGTGAGAAGATTGAGAAAGATGATGAACAATATACCCAATCAATCCAATATGTGAGCATTGGCTACAGCTAGAAGATGCACTTGGAGAAGGCCTAAGCTTATCTGGTTGGAATGGAGAAACTGTGAACAGGGCTGAGAAATTGGTAAGTCAGGTGAGGCACCTAGAATGCAAAATTTAGGAAGGCACAGCCCTGAAAGTACTCCATAAATATTGCACCCCATGCCTTACCCTAATTTGGATCCTGATTAAATACCAATTTCATGGAAGAAAATGCCAAAATTCATAAAATTTAAGGACAGGGAAGCAAGTGTTCATATACCCTGAAAAAAGGTTATTTCAGAAGGAGAGGAAACATCATCTCACCTGAGACATGGCTTTGAGATTTGTAAGAGATGAACCTTCTCTTTTGAGCTCTTCTTTTGGAAAAAGGAAGAGTCCTGAGAAGGCAAAGATAGAGGATACAAGTATGTAAGATCTAAGTCAGATCTCCCAGAATAACTCAGTTAAATCTGCATTAATGTTCACTGTTTCAGTACTTGCTCGGTCTGCATACCCTTCAGAAATCTAAGATAGAGGTTAGTGGGAAAATGGACACATCCTACTCCTTCACAAACATCAGAAACCTAGTTTCATGGTAAGGTAGAAAGGATTCTGGGGAACTTGGTGTAGCTTGAAGAGAGGTAACATTGTGTTTTTCCCTCTGCTTGTCTACTTTCCATCTCCCATTGAGCCGGGGTTTACTGTATAGTTCTAAATTGTTCTTTATGGACTTTATGCCAATTTACACTGTTGCCAGTGGTGCATAATATCTTACCATGCACTGTGAAGTACACTTGATGACATTTAAATCTTTACCCATCAGGTCTAGATTGTAGTTGAGAGTAAGCTTTTTAAAATATGTTTAAAGACATTCCTATTTCTTTTCTGCAATGGTATCTCTTTATAGTATGTCTATTTTTCTCTTGGGTTTTTATTTCCTAGTTACTTGACATTATCTTCTTCTATTTTTTTAATTTAGGAAATTAACCCTTTATCTACTTTAAGTTGAAAATACTTTTTCTTACTTTCTCATATAGACTATTAAATTGTCTTTGCCTTGTGAAGATTCTTCACCTGTATGTTTTGTGGTTTAGCAATACTACATATTGTATAATTCATATTTCTTCAACTGATGTGAAATGCCATCTTTATCACATTTATAATATATCATATAATCTTTATCACTTCCCTAAATACTTGAAAATATGTCTCAACTTTCTATTTAATTTCTCTACTTCAACTCTTTGTTGATTCACCTGTATAACACTACTTAAGTATAGTTATTGAAATTAAGTATTATTTATTATTAATTTGTTAATAGTTAATTTAAGGATTAACTATTGGAGGATACTTTTTAGTAGTGCAGGTATAAAAATAGAAAAGAAATTGATCAGGTTTCTGGGTAGAAAGCCACTCTGTAGGCTTCCAGGCAGAAAGAATAATATTTTGCTAAATGATGCCTGAAGTACGGACCACTACAGTGAATACTTTAGTTAGCAAGTTAACTATTTTAATTACTACAGTGAAATTAGCCTGTGATTAAAAGTGTATAAAATACTATTTATTATCTTAGAATGCCTGAAGAAGTTATTGATCTTGCCGTTGATTTCATCCAGGAGCAGGAAACCTCACTGAGATATAAGTGTTGAAAGTGGTAGTTATCGGTAAAAATTGTTTGTTTTTCCTGCACACTAGTTTTAGTTATCATAATAGTGTTTCCTGGCAATAAATTTGCCAGCTGGGAATTATGAAAACTTTACTTCTTCCTTTACAATACTAATACCTCTTTATTTGCTAAACTGCTACTTACAATTTTGGAGGCAGGCTTAATGGCTTACTATTCAGATAATGAAATCTTACATAACCAACTAGACACAGTCATACAAGAGTTCCTCAATCATTCAAATATTTCGGTTCCCATAGTCACAAAACCATCAGAAATAACAGTAGGTTACAAACACAGGCATAGTCATAGTCAATCAAACATCCTTCAGAAAACAACCAGTCCATAGGCCGTTGTCATTCACGATCTCAGCACATTACACAATTCCAGGCAAAGTCACAATCATTCAAAAATCACTTTCATTTCTCCAGCTGCCACACAGTTTCAAATACGACTCACACCTAATCTAAAAATAGACACATGCAGAGGAAATCTCACGCAGCAACACGAAAATCCGTCCACTGTACACACAAAACGGCCGCAACATCCCAGAGTAGCATGCACCTAACATGCAGCAGGTAGGGCAGGGAGACCACTCCCATTCGGCGCGCGCTCATACTAACACACACACTCACACTCTCTCTCTCAGCGCCTGCTGGGCGCGGGAACCCGCTCCCCGCGAAGTCGCTTCCTCCGGGTCCAAGCAGGCAAAATACCCCCTGGCGGAGCTCGCTCGCGGTCACGCCCCCGGACCACACCCGAGGCCCTGGTCGCACAGATAAGAACGTCTGGAGAGCGCGGTCCCGGTTCCCTCCTTAGAATTACCAGGCCCAGCTCGGACTCCCGGCTTCCTCCCTGGCCTCCCCACCCGGTTCCGCTCCCTTAGTCTGCTCTCCCCGGAGCGGATCTCCCAGGCCCCTCCTCGGCCTCCTCAGAGCCCCCGAGACCCACCACACCGCGCCCCCGGCCGGGCTCAGCCGTCCGCGCCTGCGCACACGCGTGTGGGCCTGAGCTCCCAGGAGTCTCCGGGGCGGCCCGTTAGGAGCTGCGCGGCGCTGGCCGCCGGCGCTCCGCGCTCCCCGCTTCGGCGTCGGGTCCCTTCCGGCTTGGCCAGCGTTTCGCCCCGGCCCCCTCGCCTCCGAGGAACTTCTCCCGCTGGTTCGTTTCCCGCCGACCTTGCGGTCGTTTTCTGTGCGCGGGGTTGAGGTGACCCAGGTCTGGATGCGAGAGGAGCTCACGGTAGGAGCGCCGCGTTCCCGCGACTGGGCAGGTGGAGGCGAAGCCGGGGCCCGTGTGTAGGCCGCCCGCCGAGGAGGGTGCCCGTGTGGGGGCTTGTGCCCGTGTGGCGGGGCCGGGCCGGCGCGCGCTGGGGAGGCCCAGACTGTTCCTGACTGGGCCCGCGGGACTGCGTGGGGGCGGGGCCGTTCGTCAGACCGCGGTTAGCGGTGACTGTGAGGTGTGTCCTGTTGTGTGACAGCGCTGTTGTAACCGACTGCAGACTGTGATCCAGATTGGCCCAGCGTGGCTTTTGTTTTGTTCTTAGGGAAGCAGAGTTTCATTTTTGCAGTTCTGGTATTGAGGAATATGTGGACCAGATATCCCCGCCTGGCTGGATATGTGCCTGTGGAAGACTGGGAGGCCTCCTGTTCCAAAGCATGGCGGCTGTTGGTTTCATCCGTGCACATTGTATCCACCGTCCAGCCTAATGCTCAATACACAGTAGACTGGCAGTGTAGCCATCCCCCGGGGCCAATTTTAAGCACCATGCTTTCTTGGAATTTGTTGCACGGGGTTTTGTTTTCTGTCATTTCACCATATAGCCACACTGCACAGTGTGCAGCCAAGTGGCAATGAAAGAGGGGAAGTTGGATATCTGAGACCTAGAATGAAGGTTGCAAGTAAAAAAGCACAGCCTGTGTTTGGTATGGAGATTTTAAAGCTGGAATTGCTCCCAAGGCAGGATCCTGGAAAGACAGGATATTGAGACCACAAGAGTAGGATTGCTTCCTCCAAGATCCCTCTTAGCAGCTCTGTAGGGGCAAGTTGAACATTGCAGATCCACATTTTCATAGCTCTGTCTACAGGAAACTACTGTGAACATAGAAACAGATTCCAGTCCTGGGCCTCAGTGAACCTGACTTTATGATAAAGGGGAGGGTCAACAATACTCCAGTCTTTCTCATAATTCCATCTGGGTATATTTATTTAATGTGCTGATGAAAGCTTGCTAGTGGTGAAGAATGTGTTCTTATTTACCCTGTCTGGGCTCCAAGAAAGCCCATGATTTTCTTTTCTTTCCATGTTTTGGCATTTTCCAAGAGAACCCTGAGAGGAGAAAAGCATTCCAGTTGCTCATCCTAAAGTCAAGCCAGAGATCATTTTGAGTTTTTTCTTTGTTTTATGAAATGCATTTTTGTTTTTCAGAGTGTAGATATAATTTCATCTGAAATGGCCTGCCAAATAGTGACTTATCTATTCACCTGGTCTCTAGTCTTTTTCTTCCCAGTTAATGATGGTACATGGGGACAAATTTCCTTCTTTCCCAGTACTCATCATATGCCTTTCCTAGAGTTAATTTTCATATAACCACTAGCCAGTAGGTTTAATTCTCCCATGTGCTCTTTTTAGCTAAGTATTCTCATGACACAGTTATTTGTTAAGGAAGAGACCAATGCTTAGGTAAAATTATACATTAGATATTTTAGATTTTCTTAAGAGACATGAGTAGAAAAATAGCAAGGTTAGAGATGGTTTGACTGGTTTTAGTAAGTAAGTAACAGTTGTCTCTTTTGGAGGATTTTAGGCATGTGGACAGAAAAAATCCAAACTCTGAAATATTTGAAAGAAGTTTATTCTAAGCCAAATTTGAGGACCATGACCCAGAGCCACTCCCAAGAGGCCTTGGGCAAGTGGACTCAAAATGACTCGGTTACAGTTTGGTTTTTATACATTTCTGGGAGACTGGGGTTACAGGTAATCAATATGTGGGAGGCATACATTGGTTTGGCCAAAAAAGGTGGGACATCTCGAAGCGGGGCTGCTTACAGGTTACAGGTAGGTTTAAAGATTCTTTGGATTGTAATTGGTTAAAGACAGGAAGCTTTGTCTAAAGGCTTGGAATGTTTTAACAGGAGTTGTTATCTGAGAAAAGCCACCAGACTTACATTTGTTGGGTAAATTGAGGACCTGCTGGATTGTTTTGCATACCCTTAGGCCATTCATGGGTTACTAAGGATGTCTCCAAGAAGGGAGCAGGGGGGGCTTTCTGTCTTTTTAGGTGATGTTAATGCTACTCTGTAATCTGGTTGGGAAGTACACCACGCTTTATTTGGTTAACAAAAGCTGCTTAGTGGGAATTTACCATTTGTGAGCCTGACTCAGCAGGCCTCCTTAGGAAGGAGTTTTGAGCAAAAGAGAAAGATCAGAGTTCAGTCCTCAGGAATTAGAATATTACTGGAGATATGTGCAGAGAGAGCTGTCAAGAAAGGGAGGAATTTTTTCTGAGGAAATCCATTAGGAGATTTATGTGGTACCAGCCAGTTCTTGTGGGAGGTTTGACAGCATCCAGTTTTTTTCCAAGTCACATAATTGTGTAGACTACAGGAGATTGTACAGTATGATGGTCTCTGAGTCTAGAGTAGAAGTCAGCAAACCGTGGTTGTGCAGGCCAAATCCAGCTTGTAGCTTATTTTTGTATGACTTGTGAAGACAGGTTTTAACATTTTTCAGTAGTTGACAACAAATAAAAAGGAGAGTAGTATTTAATGACATGTGAAAATCATATGAAATTCAAATTTCAGTGTCCATAAATAAAGTTTTGAATTTTGTCAGTAAAAAATTTGTAGAAATTTGTTCTCTCTCTTGTTATATAAATTTGTATATCATATCCTTGATTTTGCCTCTTAACCCACAAGGCCTAAAATATTTACTATATTGTCCTTTACAGAAAAGTTTGCCAACCCCTCATCTAGAGTATCTGAATCAAAATCTAGGTTTTGCCACTTACCATGTATGAGTTTGGGCAATATACTCAGTATCTTTCTGTTCTATAGTTTATTATTTGTTTAATAATACCAATTTCAAAGGGTTTTTATGAGGCTTAGAATTACTGTTAACAGCACTATAACAGTGGCTGACAATAATAAGCACTTAGATTAAAAACCTGTTATGGGCCGGGCGCGGTGGCTCACGCCTGTAATCCTAGCACTCTGGGAGGCCGAGGCGGGCGGATTGCTCAAGGTCAGGAGTTCAAAACCAGCCTGAGCGAGACCCCGTCTCTACCAAAAATAGAAATAAATTAATTGACCAACTAAAAATATATATACAAAAAATTAGCCGGGCATGGTGGCGCATGCCTGTAGTCCCAGCTACTCGGGAGGCTGAGGCAGGAGGATCGCTGAGCCCCGGAGATTGAGGTTGCTGTGAGCCAGGCTGACGCCACGGCACTCACTCTAGCCTGGGCAACAAAGTGAGACTCTGTCTCAAAAAAAACCAAAAAAAAAAAAAGCAAAAACAAAGCCCTGTTATTATTATGTGGGTATTCTAAGTCATTCCACATTCATAGATCGGGTACAAAGAAAATATGAAGTTAATTGCGATGGGCATTTATAAGTAAGAAAATGAGCCATATGCTCAGTCTAGAATAGGCATACTTCACCTAAAATAATTTGCCTTGGAATTATATGCCCAATTACTGTTTATTTATTTTATTAATGTATCTATTTCTGGGGAAAATGTATTAAAGGTGTACATTGTAAGGTTTTTCGGGGGTGGTGAAAAGAAAAGACAGAGAAAGAGTGGGGGCCAAACCACGTGGCTTTATTTTTTTTGAGACAGAGTCTCGCTTTGTTGCCCAGGCTAGAGTGCTGTGGCATCAGCCTGGCTCACAGCAACCTCAAACTCCTGGGCTCAAGCAATCCTTCTGCCTCAGCCTCCTGAGTAGCTGGGACTACAGGCTGATTTTTTCCCCAGCTGATTTTTTCTATATATATTAGTTGGCCAATTAATTTTTTTTTCTATTTATAGTAGAGATGGGGTTTCACTCTTGCTCTAGGTGGTTTCGAACTCCTGACCTCGAGCAATCCGCCCGCTTTGGCCTCCCAGAGTGCTGGGATTATAGGCGTGAGCCACCACGGCTGGCCCACATGGCTTTATCATACACTCCTGGATGAGGTTCTGGGGCCCCAGATAGGGGGCCCCCTCAATTAGCCTCCATTTGAAGGGGATGAGGCCTTTTATACCCTTTGGGCAGGGCTAGGGACTTTTGGCAGGAAGAGCTGGGGATTTTTCCATTGTGATGTTGGGTGGTCATTGATAAATAGGAGGGGCTGGAGGTATTTGTGGAATCCTGGAGTGGAAACATTCTCTTCTGGGAGAGATTCCTCTCTGCGGGGGCCTGGCAGTTTTTTCCTTGGTGGGTCTGGTCTCTTGAGCCTTTTCTTTTTTGACGTAGGGAAGGGAGAGGGCCAGCCACCAGCTTTACATACATGACCCCAAAATGTTTTGAACCACTGACCTATTCATAACTCATACCTAGAAATGAACTTTAGGAGGAGTTTGTCCAAAAACAATTTACTATATTATGTAAATGTCAATTCTTTATATCCAAATGATGTAATACTATATAGATGGTAAAAATTAGGAAGAGATACTAATACAAAAAATATAAGATGTAATATTATTCAACACTCATATTTATGAACAAAAGTGTAAGGTTTTTCGGCGGCGGCAAGAAGAAAAGACAGAGAGAGAGTAGGGGCCAAACCACGTGGCTTTATTATATACTTGTGGACGAGGTTCTGGGGCCCCAAGGGGGGGGGCCATAGAAGTCACCACTGTTTGAAGGAGTTGAGGCCTTTTATACCCTTTGGGCCTGGCTAGGGACTTTCGGCACGAAGAGCTTGGGATTTTAGGAGGGGCTGGAATCCAAGAGCTGAAACTTTTTTTTTTTTTTTTTTTTTTTTTTTAATTTCAGCATATTATGGGGGTACAGATTTTAAGGTTTCAATAAATGTCCATTCCCCCCCCTCCCCTCACAAGTCTGAGTCTCCAGCATGACCATTCCCCAGATGGTGCACATCTCACTCATTATATATGTATATACCTGCCCCCCTCCCCCCTGCCCAATACCCTATTACTGCAGTACCTATG